CCGAAACCCTACATAACTTTGAGGACATAGGTCCGGTCTTGGCGAGGCAAGCAACCCAAACACATCGAAAGTAGGATGTTTCTGCAATGTTTCCCTCATCACGGCAAATTGAGGACCATAGAGTTCAGTGCTCTTTTCAGATTTCAGGGCTTGTACAGGGGTTCCTATAAGGTTCTATCAGGGTCTATAACGGGTTTGGGGGTTTGAGGATAACGGAAAGTGGAAGTGCTCAAGCTGAACACATCGCTGGAAATGCAGAACTGGTGTTGGCTTTCACCCTTCCTCCTCTTCTACAATCTAGGAAAGCGAATACAGAAGGCCTACGGTATATAGTAGAGCGAGAAGCCAGGCATCGCCACAATCCGTGGGATTGCTGTAGGGACCTTGATAATTGGAATAGGGTTTTGGGTTCCTTAATAGCTTAGCTATTATAACAAGGAACCCTAACAATAATATTGGCAATTATTCAGGCCCCTACAGTGTGATCCCCAATTCGTACAATTGATGCTCCTCGGCAGCAATGGTTTCGCCACGGATTCGCGACTCCGCGAAGGCCACATCCTGCCGATCCAAGAAGTAGATCCCTTAATGGGGGTTCCTGTAAAGTACCCTTCGCCCCAAATTAGGGGATCTACTTTCTAGATCCTCCCAAGGGGGTCTGGGGTCGGGGGGCCCAAGATGGCGTTCGGCTTCTGGGATCTCTGGCCTCGGACCTTCAGGGCTTGGGGCTGTAGGCCGCGTCCGGGAGCGGGTTCTCTAGAGCTTCGGGTTTTCTGAACCCCGAAACCTTGAGGCCCCCCGAACCCTAAAGGCCCTAAAGCCTACGGAGAGGGCACCAAGACTCGGCAGCTGAATCCAGTAAGGACGTTCACAGTCCTCGGGGATGTTCTTGTTCAGGTGGTGACCTCGGTGCGGCAAACTTCCACACTTCAGAAGTTCTTTGGCTTGTGTAGGAGTTCTTACGGTGCGCAGGGCTTCGTTGCTTTGGGCTTCACAGCGCGATTCTTGCCCCCGTCTGCTAGGGAAGCGGAAGCCAGTGTAGATGCTCTCGGACGAAGCTGCATCAAAAGCTTAGCTTTGCGCTTCGGGATTTAATGATTCAGGGCTCAAGGATGAAGGGTATATCTCAGGGCTTCTAGAACAACCTTGCAAAAAGAGTTTGAGCTCTGCACAGACCATGAGCATGTCCAAGTGCTCCTTCAGAAGTTAGGGCTAGGAATCACGTGAGAGGTGGAAAGAACTGGCCGGGAGTTTAGATGCAGAGTTTCACTTCCATGGCGCGGGGTTTGGCTTCAGGGTGTAAGGTTTGGGGTTTAGGGTTTAAGGCTCGGGTTTAGAGTCTGGGGTTCGGAGTCCACGGTGCAACAGGGGAAGTAGCGAAGCAGGGAAACAGTCGAGAGGGGCCCTGGCAAAGCTGGTTCCCTCATGCCTAACCCTGCAGCGGAGATGAAACTCGACCCAGACTTTAAAACATGAACATCTTTGATGATGCCAGCCTTTCGCATGCGATGAACACACGGCAAATCCCAAAATCAAAAGCAAAGCCCAAAAGCAAGCACTCGCGTCACAACCGGCGAATTAAGAAGAAGTTCGGGCCCTCGGATGTCACGTGTCAGGCTTTGGTCATCCAGGGTCCAGGGCTTTAGGGCCTTACGATCTGAATCTTAGGGCTGAGTGATGTAGATGCCTGAATGGCAGACACCGACACGACAAGCATCCTGGACATGCTTGAGCTCTCAGCACCTGCCCCTCAAGAATATGACTTCTACGGGTGATCGAGGCTTTTAGGTTAAAGGGTATTTAAGGTTTTGCAAAGCCTGGACTACCTGCCTGCAAGTCCCACGAGCCTGATGAGCTCAAACCCTTCGCGCCTCGATCGTGTTGACCGTGAAAGGGCGCGTAGGGTTCGTGGACGAAGGAAGGACGTTCGGAAGGCTGCAAACCTCTCCCATGCTGCTCAGGGTTGTCCATTCAGGGCGAAGGTCGCACAGGGTATAGAGTTTAGGGTCTAAGGTTTTCAAAGTAGATTATCTGGGGTTCAGGGCTCAAGGTTTACAGGGCTTGCCCATGACATGGACTTAAGGGCTCTAGGTTGTGGGGTGTGGGCCCAGACTTTAGGATGGCGCAGATCAGGAAGCCGTTTGCCGGCAGCTCCACGGCGTCATTGACTTGTCGACAGTGGGCTCCTAGTACGGCTACCCTTACGACCACCGCCACCACCACCACTGCCACACCTGCTGCTGCTGCTGCTGCTACAAAATTAACACCATCACGATGACGACAACCACTACTACTGCAACTACAACTGCATACTGCCGCTGCTGTTATCAAAATACTCCTCTACTACTACTACTACTACTACCACGACTACTACTACCACTACTACTACTACTACTACTACTACTACTACTACTACTACTACTACTACTACTACTACTACTACTACCTACTACCTACTACCTACTACCTACTACCTACTACCTACTACCTACTACCTACTACCTACTAACTACTAACTACTACTACTAACTACTAACTACTACTACTAACTACTAACTACTACTACTACTACTACTACTACTACTACTACTACTACTACTACTACTACTACTACTACTACTACTACCTACTACCTACTACCTACTACCTACTACCTACTACCTACTACTACTACTACTACTACTACTACTACTACTACTACTACTACTACTACTACTACTACTACTACTACTACTACTACTACTACTACTACTACTACTAGGCCATCCCCCCTGGTGCGACGCCGGTCGCTGAGTTCGTGGATGTACAACATGGAAGACAACCCGAACACAGGCTCAAAGAAATCCGGCTTAACATAAAGATGAAGATGATCATGATGATGATGATGATGATGTTCATGATGATGCTATTCGAGATGGTGCTGACGAAAGTGATGATGAACATGATAATGCTGGATGCTGCTGATGTGCGGTTCTTGCGCCTCTACTCGTTATTGAACTAGTGAACCACAGAGTAAGCTGTTAGAGAGCAGTAGAAAGTACCATCCCCGCTCGGTGCGATGCAAAGAAGCAACATTTCGAAAGGTTTTGGACATGGATGCTCTCCACACCAAAATGCGCTAGACCATGGACGTCATTAGGTTTTGGACATGGATGCTCTCCAAACCAAAACGCGCTAGACCATGGACGTCATTAGGTTTTGGACATGGATGCTCTCCAAACCAAAATGCGCCAGACCATGGACGTCATTAGGTTTCGGACATGGATGCTCTCCAAACCAAAACGCGCTAGGCCATGGACGTCATTAGGTTTTGGACATGGATGCTCTCCAAACCAAAATGCGCTAGACCATGGACGTCATTAGGTTTTGGACATGGATGCTCTCCAAACCAAAATGCGCTAGACCATGGACGTCATTAGGTTTTGGACATGGATGCTCTCCAAACCAAAATGCGCTAGACCATGGACGTCATTAGGTTTTGGACATGGATGCTCTCCAAACCAAAATGCGCTAGACCATGGACGTCATTAGGTTTTGGACATGGATGCTCTCCAAACCAAAATGCGCTAGACCATGGACGTCATTAGGTTTTGGACATGGATGCTCTCCAAACCAAAATGCGCTAGACCATGGACGTCATTAGGTTTTGGACATGGATGCTCTCCAAACCAAAATGCGCTAGACCATGGACGTCATTAGGTTTTGGACATGGATGCTCTCCAAACCAACGATTTGAATGAAAATCATGATCAAAATGAGGCCCAAAAAACCTTGATTCTGATCGCTAGGTTTTGGGCACGAAAATCGAGACACCCAAAAACAGTAAAAAATCATGAAATTCGCAAAGACAAGTGCTGTAAATACCAGCATTTTCGGGTGCGAGATTGATGAACAATGTTAGAAAATATGATAAAAATACACACGAAAACAGGAACAGTTGCCACTTTCGATAACTGCGGAAAAAAGTGTTGTAAAACACAGCATTTCCGACCACAGCAAGTCCCAAAAATAAGAGGTTTGGGCGTCGCACCGGGGGGGGATGCCTTACTACTACTACTACAACTACTACTACTACTACTACTACTACTACTACTACTACTACTACTACTACTACTGCTACTGCTACTGCTCCGGCTACTGCTACTGCTACTGCTACTACTGCTACTGCTACTGCTACTGCTACTGCTACTGCTACTACTGCTACTACTACGACTACAACGACGACTACTACTCCTACAAATCATAATTATTACTACTGCTTCTGCTGCTACCTCTTCTGCTACTGCTGCTACTGCTGCCGCTGCTATTATTATGTCCATTACTACCACTCCTGCCACAACGACGACGACGAGTACTACTACCAAAACGACCACCGCTACTTCGGTTACTACCAGGCTCTCACCTCCAAGCCCAATTCTAAAACCTAAGCCAAGAGCAGCAAGTCAAAAGCTGAGAACATGTCGGCCTTAATGATGTCCGGCGCATGGCCGCCACCTGCACCCTCCGTGTGGTAAGTGTGGATGGTCCGGCCTGACCACGCAGCTTCCATCTCCACCCCGATTTCGAAAGACAACCCCAGATCTTACGGCCTTTGTACTCAGTCACCGTAAAATTGTTTAAAGGCTACTAAACATCACTGAACTTCTTTCGATGGTTTAGTGTGTTGGGTTTAGGGTTTTACATACCCCACATACCCCCACGGATCAGAGAGCACACGGCCTGGGCCCTTCAGCCAACTGGCAGGTGCAAAATCCAAACACAACAACGAAAACTAGAAGCTTACACTACGAAACGTCCAGCACTCCAGTCTGCTAATGATGACTGTCATGATCATGGTGATAAGGATGAGGAACAGGACGACGACGATGACTACTTGACATGATGAGGGTACTGACAGGAATGAGCTCGGGAATGCTAGGTAGGTCCAGTCAATGAAAATGCGAGTCTACACATCGCATCTACGCGGAACACGTAGGCGGAAGACAGTTGACAAACTTCGCTCACTCCGATGGAGCCAGTAAGCTGGGGCTCCGTCCTTTCATCGCCGCAATAGAATCATCAACAAAGCCGGACTCGTTGATGGTGTCCTGCGGGAGCTTGGGCCAGATAGGCAGCCGGCACATCGTGACAACAGAAACAAGGTGACAAGATCCAAGCCACGGCGAAGTCGAGATCATGAGCCCAAGCGCTCAAACCCACAGACCATACACCTTGAGCCCGGTCCGTGTGGATGGTGATGGCAATGTCGTGCTTATCTGCAAATGTCAGCGCGGTGTCGATCACGGCTGGCGTCGTACCCCAGTCCTGACAGCTGTTGGGTTGCCTCATACTGCAATAGACCAACATGTACGACAAGTTACGAAACTATGTTTGCAGCGTATGTACAGCAGTTTGCTAAATACACAAACTATGGCCAAATCCCTGCAGCCCTCAACTGGTTCGCAGCCCTGCCAGCAGTCGTGTTCTCGACCCTACTTGCACGCTTCCCTCACACAAACCGAAACACTAAATGCCTACACCACCGTTAAGAGCCAACACTCCTCAAGCCTAGGATCATCCGGTAAAATCCAGAAAGTATCTTCAAAATGAAGCAGAAGGATCATCAGCCCTGTCCCAGCTTCTGGGAGGTCTCTGTAAACCCGTCTCAAACCAACCCTATAGGAAAGCTCAACTCCAAAACCCTGCCTCGTGGAGTTTGAGGCCAGCTGCACCAGCCTCTTTTCCCATGAGAGAGCTTTAACGGCCTTTAAGTCATTTCAGGATTTATCTACGAATTTGAGTCTTTTACCATCGGAGGCCTTTGTACGAAGGATGTTGCTGGAGCCTGCAAACTCCTTAGAGTGTTCCGGGGTCCATCGATCTATCTATCCATCTGTCTATATAAGAAAAAATATAAATATAAATATAAATATATATATATATATGTTCTTGTATATACATGTGAGGATTGAATGTTCAGCCCCTAAGGCGCTTTAGCGCAGCTTATATCTTACGTAAGGTTTCTGATTCCCGGTTGAAGGGTTTGGAGTTCAGGCACTCAGGGTTCCAAAAACCGAGAGGTTCAGGATTTCAGGTTGAGGATCTAGGGACATAGTGTTTTGGATGTAAGGGATTTGAGGGACTTAGTGCTCTGGGATGTAGAGGGTGGGCTCCGCAGCAGGCCAAACCTCTCTCATCTCAAGCCCCTAGCTCTCGCTAGGAACGTGCTGGATCCAGCAACCCCACTGCCGTATCCCGTAATTGACACCTCAAAGCATGCCTTCGCAAGCTCCCAGGCCCTTCACCCCAGACCAAGAACCCAAACTCCACACCCACATCCCACCTTGATGACCTCGTGGAGCCCCGTGGGGTCAGAGGTGTTGCCTCAGCGGTCTCAGCAGGTTCCGAGAGGGCTTGTGTGGGGGGCAGGAGCCTTACAAAAGTGTATGCTGGCGTTACCGAGGGTTGACACAGTTGACAGACGCAAGTCCCAGCCTCATCCATGGCTTTTGGCTTCTGAAAAATACCCACACGAATCCTTCAGAAACAAAACAAAACCCAAAATCCCAGACAGTAACCCTAAACCCTGAACCCTAAATACCAACCCTAAAAACTGAACCCTAGATCCCGAACCGACGGCCCAAAGCCCCTTTCAGAAAGCGGCCTTTCCCAGAGAAGCCGAAGTTCAGAGGGAACCTGGGCTACGAGGGCCTTGCTAAGGACCTCAACAAGGGTGCCCGAAAGCATCAGTTTAGGGTTGAGGGCTTAGGGTTTAATAGGGTTTCGAGTTTGGGGTTTAGGGCTTAGGAAAAGTAGACTTTCGGGCTTTTTCTGGGGTCTAGGGTTTCGGCTTTCGGGGCTTCGGGTTTAGGGCTCAGGGAAGTATACCAGACTCGATCCCCAAACCCTATCACAACTCTATACAGGATTCCAGGACTTCACAAAGGGGCTTTGGACGGATCGAAGTCTAGGGATTTTCGGCTTCAGCTTAGATTTCACTCTACATTGCAGGCATTTGCAAACATCGGCCTGGCACATCCGCGCAGCTTTCATTCGAGATTTGAAGGCTGGCTTTGGTGGGAGCAGGTTGCCAGAATAATCCCGCCTGCCCAACACCTAAGAAAAAACAAGAGTTATTATTGCAATAACTCTTACGGTAAGGTTTCTGCGCGGTCACTGTACGGGAGGACTGGATGTTTCGCGGGTTCTGTAGAGCTCGGGGCGCTGAGAGGGTCTCGTACCCAAAGATAGAGTGCAAACCCCCTATAATGAAGCCCAATAAGGTAGGGATATCCCTATAAAATGTTTTTGCGTATTTGCTTCTTGGGTCCCTAATAGACTTGGCTCGTCTATCAGGATCTCGAGGCTTCTTGAACTCCATGAGAACTTCGGCACACTCAATATGGCGGTTTGAGAATATAGGAGGCCATATTAAAACAAACTGAAGAATGGTATCTTGAACAAGGTACCAAGGTACCCTCAGTTTAATGATTTTTCCACGTACGGCTCATGTTGCGCTTGGCCAAACTCGAAACAATCTTGCCAGGTCCCCCAACGCGTCCGTGGCTTGCAGCATCATCGCCACCTAACAGAACCACTTGGGGCTCTTTATGTATGGTCCCAATTCAGAGCCAGATAGAAAGTCACATTCCCAGAAAACCCTATAAGATCCGTTTAAGCACTTAAAGGTGTCTGGCACCGCCATACCTTTAGTAGCATTTGTCGCAACAATCATGCTCTCGACAAAAATCGAGACAATCAACCAAAGAACCACATGAAGCAATTGCCATCCGCCTCATCATCAGCAGCAGCAGCATATCATCGCGGTGTGATGTGCTCGTCTTCCTCATCGTCATCGTCGTCGTTACCGCCACCATCATCGTCATCAGCACCATCCCCATCATTAGAGCCATCATCGTCGCCACCACCATACTAAACATGTTTGTGACAAATGACAAGGCCATACCAAAACTGGAAATAAACGTTGCAGCAAGACTGAAACTGCTAGTGCGGCAAGCTCTGCAAAGACGAAAATCAAGAATAGCGGCAGGGGTAGGAGTACGCGCTGGTAGCGCTGGTCGAGCAGCAACGAGAATAGTTCATGCAGAGAAAAGAACCATCAAAGCGGAACAAACAACAATCCCCACCTGGCTTGGTGCCGGCGTGCAGGTCGTAGCATTTGTGCCGGTTGCTGGCCCCGTTCCTGTCTTGGCAATGGCTGATGCACGCATGCATGCATGCATGCTTCCATCGATCCGTCCATCCATACATACAAGCACGCACACGTATACACGACCTTGGAACACATAGTTACACACAAACTCACCTATTCACATACATACATACATACATATATACATACATACATACATACATATATGCATACATACATACAGACAGACAGACCGACAGAAAGGCTGAAAGACAAACAGACATACCTATGTACCTACATGCCCAGATGCCTACATACTTGCTTACTTTCTTTCACACATACATGCATACATACATGCATACATGCATGCGTACATGCTTACATGCATGCATACACACAAATTGGTACAGTTGCGTACCGATAAGCATGTAAATGCGCATGTACATGATCTGATACATGTGTATATATGTATGTGTGCATGTACACATGTGCACATATACATACACCCATACCTGCTGCCCCTCGTCTCCTGATGTCCCAGAGTGTCACACAGACCGAATGTCAATGGGTTTTGCATTAGTGAAAGTCACACCCAGACTCTAGATAGTACTTCGTTGCAAGGAAAGGAAAGAGGAACCTGTTGCTTTCTCCTGTAGCAGTAGCAGCAGCAATCTCACCAAAAAGAGTATCTTTGTGGCGGTAGCAGTAGAAGTAGCAGTGGGAGTAGGAGTAGTAGCAGGAGTAGAAGTTGTAGTCGTGGTTGTAGTAGCAGTACTAGTAGTAGTAGCAGTAGTAGTAGTAGTAGTAGCAGCACAGTGGTGCTGATAGCAGTGGTCATTGACTTCATCACTCTGTCACCAATGCCAGCATTGCTGCCTCCTCCGTACATCGTCGTGAGCCCTGATGCCACAGCATCATCAATCTGCTGCGGGCAAATCCAATGTACCTGCGTCGTCTCATCTCTTCTTGTCTACTGAGAGTCTACTGTGCTTTCGGAAATGTATGTGGCGGCTTGGTGCTGCCGAAGCTCCTTGTTGCTCGACGACCCTTGCTCAGCGGCCCTTGGAGAATACCAACGCTCCCACACTACAGAGGTACGTGGTCACCGATCCCATCACACACCTCGATTGCCCCTCTAATATAGGGCCTTAATAATTAGAATAGGGTTTTGGGGCCCAGTATACTTTAATTGTGATAAGGAACCCCCAAAATAGCATAGGTACTCATTAAGGCCCCTATGTTTATGCCACAACTTCTGTCACAACTTCCGGGAGGCTCCGCGGTTCCAGCTTGCCGGAGGATCTAAGCAAAGCTCGCCGAAACTTCTTTGCTAAGGCTCTGGTCCAATCCACGTTCTCTACACTTTCAAGGGGGTTTCGGGTTTGGGGTTCAGGGGTGTAGGGTTTAGGGGTTTAGAGGTTTTTAGGGTTTAGGATTTAGCCACAGTGAAAGCACAAGGACAAAGGCCTTCCCGAGCGACAAGCCCTTCAAGCCCTCGCACAGCGATATCTGACCAGCTTTGCAGACTTCAGGAAACTCCCCTCGACTCATGTTCGATCCCCGGGGTGTCCCTTACAGCACGAGAAGAAAACCCAAACCACATTGAACAACCCTCACAGTCTGGATAACCGTGAAAAGTGGCACGAAGACCTCCGATCCCAAAGACACCAGGCTCACATGCATGTCCAGCCCGCCGGCCGTGATGATCATGCCTTCCCCGGCGATTGCCTCCGTGGTGACCTTGCACAGTTTCAGGCTTGAGTTCATTAAGGACGTTCACAAGGTGATCTGTGGGTACGATGCTATGAGCCAGTTTTGCAGGCTTGCAGTGGAAGCCGGTCCCGGTGTAAGGTGCATGCCGAAGGCTCGGGAAATCCCGGCTGAGCCCACAACCGATTCAGGGCTGCTAGACCAGTCTAGTCTGGTAGTATCTGAGGCTTTCTCTGATGTACCTTATTTTGGGGTCCTTATGATGAAGATCCTACTATCTAGGGCCAATTTAGGGTAGTATAGTGGCCGTGGCAAGTACTACAGGGTCTCGGTGAATGGTGCACTACAAGAATTACAAGGACTACAAGAAAAGGAGATAGTGTTTGTAATTATTCAGTAAGCACCGGGCACCCACCACCATTCCCTCCGTGACGCCGTCCATGATGTCAGGATTCCCAGCCTCAGTTTTTCATACCTCCGACCTGTGCTAGGGGTTCATCGCCTCCGGTTCAAACACTGATGCAATGCTTGCTGTGATGTCTCAGACGGCAGCTTTGCCGATGCCAGCGATGTGGTTGCCCTTGATGCCAATGTCCTTGGTGCAAGGCCAGTGTTCTTACTGGTAGCTGGTATTGTGGTGATAACGATGCCAACACTCATGTTTACTATAGCTTCGGAGGAATAGCAGTAAGCAGAACCACCATCAGCGCTGTCTTCAAAACTCAGGCCATGGTGGTAGTGTCGTCACATACGTACCGGCTGTGGTAGCAACTGTACTCAATGACAAAGTTCAAAGGTCGTAGTGCAGTCAACAAAGTAAGAAATGGCAGAAGTGGTAACAGTCCTAGTAGTAGCAGTAGCAGTAGCAGTGGCAGTGGCAGTGGCAGTAGCAGTACCAGTAGCCGCAGCAGCAGCTGTAGCAGCAGCAGCAGCAGGAGCAGCAGCAGGAGCAGCAGCAGGAGCAGCAGCAGGAGCAGTAGCAGTAGCAGTAGCAGTAGCAGTAGCAGTAGCAGTAGCAGTAGCAGTAGCAGTAGCAGTAGCAGTAGCAGTAGCAGTAGCAGTAGCAGTAGCATTAGCAGTAGCAGTAGCAGTAGCAGTAGCAGTAGCAGTAGCAGTAGCAGTAGCAGTAGCAGTAGTAGCAGTAGCAGTAGCAGTAGCAGTAGCAGTAGCAGTAGTAGCAGTAGCAGTAGCAGTAGCAGGAGCAGGAGCAGGAGCAGTAGCAGTAGCAGTGGCAGTAGCAGTAGTAGTAGTCGTCGTCGTCGTCCTCGTCCTCCTCCTCGTCCTCGTCCTCGGTGGCAGTGCTAGTAATGTAGTTGGAACGACTACTACTTGCGAGTCGTAGTTGTAGTACTGCTGATCTCCAACTCACCCCACAATGCGTGCTGCCAGGGTACCGCCTTCCTTGGCTCCAGGGATGCGTTGAAATGCAGTGGCATTAACGGTCAAGCGTTTAGGGTTTAGGGTTGTGGCGTTTGAGGTTCTGCGGCTAGGGATCTAAACTTCAGGAGCTGTTGGTTTGAGGGCTTCGGGCTAGAGCTTGGGGTTCAGGTGGGCCTGTATGATTTGCATGCTTTATGCTATCGAAGGCACAGCTTCACCAGGCGCCCCAAGTTTCAGAGAGACTCTAGAATGTCTTCGCACAATGAGGAAGTACAGACTGTGCTGGAACAACCTGGTATACCCACCGGCGTGGCCTGAGCATGGCAAAGGAGATTTTATCCACCGGCACTCAGCCAAACTCACAGGTCAAAGGTGCTAACCGGGCTACATGGTCGGTCGGGCATAAGCTTGCTGACTGCTGGTAATTAAGGTATATTGAGGTGGCGTCCACTCAACCCTTCATCGCTAGTTGGCTCATGTGGGGATAAGTGAGCAAGGGTAGATGTTTTTGGACAGCATCCGGAAATGCCCGCAGCAGCGGAGCCTGTGCGGCCGTGGCACACAATGCCGAGCTTGGCATCCACGATCAATGCATTCGTGATGACTACATCCAGGGCATCCTTCTCACAGGCGACATGCAAGGATGCAAGCACCAAATGCACGGAAGCAGGAATTGGATTAGCGCACGGGAAAGCAAACGAAAACGCTGAGACCGTTGTTTGATCAAACAGGCCGCCAACACAAACACTTGTTGCCCGCCATATCCTTAGCCGTGATCTGAGGACGTAGAGCAAAAATCCAATCATCGCGTTTCAGCATTCATCGAGTTTCAGCGTTCCGACATGATGGGCTTCAAGCGCCAGGCCATCAATAAAAGATATGAGCATGTTGCTTGCAAACATTGCGGTGGCTCGTCTCAGTGCTTGCGACACTGAGCTTCCGCTACCACTACCACTGCCACGGCCACCACCACTGCCACTACCGCTACCACTATCTTTGGTGAGCTCAGTGTTTCTGTGACAATCCGACATCCACAATGGCCACTGGGCATCCCGCAACTGTGAATACCAGTAGTGTATAGAAAATACACCCTGCTAGATCTAGGCTTCCTACCGCTACGGCATCCCAGCGGCCTTGGCCAGCACTCCTGTTGCCTGCCCCATGCCCTCGCGCAGCACCTTCCCACCTGCAAAGCAGCAGACGACAGCCCGATCCAAAACCCAGCGCTTCTGAAACTATCATGATCAGGAGATCAAACATCCTCAACAACAAGCACTCCTATACAAAAGAAGAATAAGAGATACCGCCACCGACAACAATGTACAGCCGTAGTAGCGCCGGATATTATCGCGCTTCGATCTGAATCTTGCGGGACATGAAGGGTAAGTGACGACGATGATGTATCGCCACCATGATACTGACATTGGTATTGGCACTGGTGCGCCCAATAACCGATATTACGGCACAGCCACTTATAACGACGATAGCGATGCTCACTTCAGGATGGGATGATGACGATGACAATGACGAAGACAGTGACGATGGTGATGATGATGCTGGAGAAGATTATGGTGATGGTGATGATCACATCATCGTCACGATCATCTACATCGTCATCATCAGCATCAGCATACTCATTATCATCCCGACGACGTCAATGCCATGATCCAAAACGTTACAGCCGATCCAAATTGCACAGCACATGTCTTCGAATCCTGTGGTCTTTCAAAGACTACCTGTTGCACTTGCCAAAAGAGTACCAAGACCCTGACAACTCTGTGCCTCAGCTTGCTCCTGCTGCAAGCACGAAGCCACGAGCCCGAAATGCGAAACACCAGAGGGCCTCCAACCGAACCTTTTCCCCCCCCTCCCCCGATATGCGCCTCCGAACTTGCATTCCTCGCCATAGACTGTGAAGTCCTGGAGAGCAGCAATCTTTGCGGCCGTAATCAGCTTCACCAGCACAACATCATTAGAAATAACGAGAAGCCAAAGAAATCGACAAACCCAAAACTCTGTTGGCATTGCTATTGCTAGAGATTGCCAGTGGAAGTGGCACTGAAGCTGCGACTGTGACGAAGAGTAAGAAGAGTGCCACTGCTAGTGCTGCCCTTGCCGTGCTCGAAACGCCGCCTTCTCCACCTCTGCAACGAGGTTGGTATCGCCCAAACGGACCTGGCATCTCCACTATGTTAGTAATATGGCCGTGAGCTTTTCTGAGCTTATTCGAAAAGACGACGTCGGGCCTCAGTTGCGTTGGACTTTGCTCCACGGCGTCAGGTGAGAAGTGCGGACTCTCTGGATTGAGTTTAGGGCTCATAGTACGGAGTTTGGTATCTATGTTCTATGTTCAGGGCTTTGCGCAGGGTGGACTTCCATGTAAGACTTGCTGACACTCGGTGTGGAATGCCGGTGCCGCGCATCAGCCCCTTGACCAAGTTTCTACAAGCTCAATCCGTATAGCACCGCAAATAGCAGGATCCTTATTATAACGGCCCCAAAATAGGTATCCCTAATTTCGGAAACTTCACACAAGTTACTCGTTTCGAAAAAATGTTCTCTACGCCCCAACACCTCAGCAAAAGAAGCGCAAGCTTGCCTTGTCCCCCGCTGTGGGGCCGAAAAGCTCCGCGTAGCGATCCCGGGCCAAGACCTGTGTGCTTCGGGCAGACCCGGTGTTCTGGTATCCATAAGCACATACCATAAGGGTTGCTTCAAGGGCTACTATAAGGGTCCCTATAAGGGCTCCTATGGGGGTTACGATCAGGCTTGCTATAAGAGTTTTGCCATAAGGGTTGCTGCTCTAGGGTTTGACGGGCTCAGGGTCTTAGGGTCTGAAGGTCTTAGAGGTTTGGGATTTTGGGGTTTACGGCGGCTTAGGATTTAGGGCTGGAAGGTTTACAGCTTTCGGGCCTCAGCATTAAAGGCGCGGTTTAAGAGTTTACAGCACGAGGATAACAATGTGTTCCAGACTTTGGTCTCACGAACAACACGGCAGCAGCAGCAGCAGCAGCAGCAGCAGCAGCACAAGCAAAGAAAGCCCACTTATGACGCTGCGTAAGCTGAAATTACTATTTGGGGGTTCATGAATATAATTGTAGTATAAAAAGCCCCAAAACCCTGTTCTAATTGTAAAGAGTGCTTAAAACAGCGCGAACGAGTGTCTGTGCATTGACCAAGACCTTCTCTATAGTTGCCGTGGAGAGTGCCATGACAGCGTAGTACCAACAAAGGGAGTGGCAGAAGAAGTAGAAGCTGCTTTTGTCGTCGTAGTAGCAGCAGTAGTTGTTGTTGTTGCTGCTGATGATGTTGTTGTTGTATCAGTTTCAGCTAGTCGCAGTATCGGTCGTCGTTGTAGTCGTGGTAGTGGTAGTAGTTGGTGTTGTTGCGGTTGCTGTTGTTGCTGTTGTTGTCGATGTCGTTGCTGTTGAGGTCGTCGCCGCCATCGTCGTCGCCGTCATTGCCGCCGCCGAAAGTCGTCGTCGCAGCGGTAGAGTCGATCGTGGCTTTGGTGGTGGTGGTGGTGGTGGTGGTGGTGGTGGTGGTGGTGGTGGTGGTGGTGGTGGTGGTGGTGGTGGTGGTGGTGGTGGTGGTGGTGGTGGTGGTAGTGGTGGTGGTGGTGGTGGTGGTGTGGTGGCGGCGGCAGTCATCTTGTTCGTCTGAACCTGTATCCTCATAACCACCATCGTCGCCAGGAGTAGCCCGGTCATCCTGCTCTTGATCTTGGCTTGCTGAGTTTCAGAAAAACCATCCCCCGCACACCACTGACCGAGTAGCTACAGTACTAAAAACGCAGGCTTGGCCTTTTCTGTGTGAGGGCAAGTGCCTCTCCAGGGTGTGTAAGGACTGAGGCGCAAGCTAGCGGCTTGCCTTCAGCGGCAGTATCCACAGCCTGGTTGAAGGTTTCTCGTGAACTCCGACGATTCATGACAAATAAACTGCTGGTGCTATAAGGCTCTCATCGGATTCTCTCGAAGGCCTCAGTAGAAGGTCTTTAGGGCTTTCGGCTTGGGAGTCTAGGGATTTGAGCTTTCGGGATTAGTGGTTTCCGGGAACAACCAAGGCTCAGACATTAGTTCTTCTGGCCTTTGGGTTATGTACGCAGGTTCAGCCTAGCAATCTCGTAGCTAGGATTTGGGCGTGAAGTCAGGCTGACATCCCTTGATCGGAAGTAAGGACAAGAGCAACTCATGCGGCATCGCTGCCACAGCAACCAAGGCTGTCGGCACCAATACCAACAGACCGAGTACTGATGACTCCACGATAGTAGGTTTTCTCCAAGAGCCCCGCTCCCCTTCGGAGCATGCATTACAAGCTTCCGCAGCGTTGGATCGCAAGCTTGTGCTTTTTAGCATGATGTTTCCTTCGATAGTTTTGATCTTCGCTGACCTCAAAGCCCAACATGTTCCCGCAGGCCGGCGAACTAGGTGCAGGGGCCGCAGACAGAGTAGAATCGGTACATCCCTGGCCGAAATGTGCGTATTCTAAATCAATAAATATACGTAGATCTTGTCAAAACCATATGCAGCAAAAAGCCCTAGCTACAGGATTGCAAGAACTATCTATAACCACAATCAGGACCAATCATAACCATCCGGACCAATCATAACCATCCACTTACTAACTTCTCCAAACCCTCAGGTCACTCACCAGGAGCCTGGTGGCCAAAGCCGCCCTCTTCGACGCGCTTCAGCACCTGGAAGCTCGTGCAGATTCGGATCGGGGTTTGGGTTTAGGGTTTAGGGGTTTAGGGTTTCAGCACGGTCTCTGAAATCTTGGTGGGTGGGAGCGGGAGGGTGGACACGTATGGGGTCTCCGGGTACCTGGCTGAATTCACAGACAGCTTCGTCGCCCTAAAGCCTAACCTCATACATCCCCACAAACTAACCCCCGGACTGTCTCCACCACGTAGCCTGAAACCTGACACCCGAACCTAAGCTCTCGAGACCCGAAGGCTTTAGCCACAAGAACATAAACCCTAACCCCGCCCACCTTACTATAGAACCTTCATAGAACCCTGAAAGGAACAGCAGCAGTAATGACGACTCAGGCAACAATTACCGGCTGTTAGCAATAGCGCCTCAAATCGCAACACTGATTTTGAGCTGGCACGAGTAACAAAAAAGGATAACGAAGAAGAAGAAGAAGAAGAAGCAGAAGCCGAATTCTCATAGCACCACTACTAGAATTGCCAATACTGCAACGGACAAAGCATTAGAGAGATGCACGTGGTTGCCATTGTCAGTATCATGACAGCAATCATCAGCCACACCAAGAACCCGAAAATCGACGCAACCCCTTAGCTACGTCAACCCTGAGCCTAAACTTACACCCCAAACTCCGAAATTCTAAACCCTAAAGCCCTACAACGCTACAACCCCAGCCTAAAACCCTGCCTGAACCCTAACACTCTGAAGCCCTAAGAAATCCGATGAGATGTGCCTCTGGCAAGCGGTCGTCGCCTCGGCTAGCTAAGGATTAGGGCTTTAGGGGTCTAGGGTTTGGGGTTTAGGTTTAAGGTTGAGGGTTTCGGGTTTAGGGTTCAGGGCTTTTTCTTTGAGGGCCTTTTTCCTAGCAGCTATTCCCCAAAGTGCCTGTTTAGGCAGGTCAGTGCACAGCAGCTGTGCTCTGTGCTCACTCGTACTTACCCATTGAGGGTCTAGAGTCTAGGGTTAAAGGCTTGGGGGAGCTGGGAGGGGACATGGAACTACTATCATGGGCCTTGAAGGAAGGGTTCCTGGGCTTTTCAGGGTTCCTTTTCAAGGTTCCTTTTCGGGTTCCTGTAAGTTTTTAGGGCGGATGGACACCCCGTTTTCTGGTTTAGGTTTAGTCTTCTTGGGACACTCGCGCCAGCGGCTGGTTGTTTAAACGCTTTAGATAGAACGTTAGTCTGTGCCTGGCATAAAGAAATGTAAAAGGTTTAGGTTTGGCGGTCCGCAGACATCCACAGACCCTGCGAAAGAATTGAAATCTCCACGAACAGAGGAGTTTGGAACCTTCATTCCATCAACACAAAACCCTTCTGGCAAGCCTTATGGTAACCTGAAAGCCCCTATATTCCCCTTGACACCCTGAAAGGAACCCGCAAAGGAAGCCTTAAACGATCCCTTAAAAGAAGCCTCAAAGGAACCGTTCGAGGAAGCCTTAAAGGAACCCTTAGAGGAAGCCTTAAAGGACCCTTAAAGGATGCCTTAAAAAATCCTTAAAGGAACCCTTAGTGAAACCCTTAAAGGATCCAGCCCCTTAAGGGAACCCTTAAGGGAAACCTTAAAGGAATCCTTAAAGGAAACCTTGAAGGATCCCTTAAAGGAACCCTTAAGGGAACCCTTACAGGATCCCTTGAAGGGGGCCCTTACAGGATGGCCCTTAAAGCAGACAGCGACTCGAGAGCTCTGAGACCTCCGCTGGCGATGCCATCCACGAGTCGGTTGCCAGAGACCTGGTTGTGGAGGTTCCTTCCTTTAAGCGTTCAGGGTTTAGGGCTTTGAGGTTTGTGGAGGTTCCTTCCTTTAAGCGTTCAGGGTTCAGGGTTTTGGGGTTTGTGGAGGTTCCTTCTTTTAAGCGTTTAGGGTTTAGGGCTTTGGGGTTTGTGGAGGTTCCTTCTTTTAAGCGTTTAGGGTTTAGGGCTTTGGGGTTTGTGGAGGTTCCTTCCTTTAAGCGTTCAGGGTTTAGGGCTCTGGGGTCTGTGGAGGTTCCTTCCTTTAAGCGTTTAGGGTTTAGGGCTTTGGGGTTAGCGTTTAGGGTTTAGGGTTTTGGGTTCCTTCTTTTAAGCGTTTAGGGTTTAGGGTTTGCGGAGGTTTTTCCTTCTCTTTAGGGTTCCTTCAAGAGATCTGTAAGGGAGACTAAAAGGGTACTACTTTTGGGGTTCTTCAAGGGAGCTGAAAGGGATACTATAATGGTACTACAGGGCTGTCGGGTTCAGGTTTGAGGGTTGAGCGTTTAGGTTACTGTAAGGGTTCCTTTAAGTAGTAATGCAGGAAGAAACGTAAAGCTTTAGAACAATGCCGTCGTTGTGGCGTTGCAACAAATCGGCGTGTTTCCAATCTTTCGGCGCAGATGGCAGCGAAACATGGAATCGTCAACATGCCTTATTCAAGCCAGCATATGACATTGCAGCATGTGCATGATGCCGATCGTCGCGCCAACGATGATGCCGACACCTGAGCTGCATAACCTAGCACCACCTAGCGATGCTGAAGCCGTCGTGGCTTGAGTGGTGGGTTCTTGCAGTCACGGCTCCGGCCATGTATGTCAAGCCGACAAATGGGTGGTAGCGGAGGAAGGCCACGGAGATGACCAAGGTGGCCAGGACGGCCGTCGCTAGGAAGACCAGTACACGAATCACCCAACCTGCTCCAGAGCTGATGTAAGGGCCCAGGAAGGGAAGAATGTCCAGGACCACCTCAGCCCAGATCAAGAGCCTCCAAAGATGCTAGTAGAGGCATAATCCAAAATACAGTAGAGGATATAGTAGAGTGTAATCTAACTTAAAGTACAGCATAATATAACACATCGTCTCTTGGCGAGAGGCCAGCAAGGGCTGGAAGAGGGCGTAGGTGCCGGCATAGAGCAGGAGCCAGGACAAAAGCCGCAGACCCCACTTCATCACCAGGCGAGACCTGACTCTGTGGTAAACTATCATACAACAATCGAGTACGTACAATATACCATCATAGTCTCTAGTAAAGCAGAGTAGAGTATAATGTCATATCATATCACATCATGTAATCAACTCAGCTTCGCGGTTTAGGGCCCAGTGTTCAATTGGACGAAGGCGCCAGGGAGATTCCGGAAATCCCCAACAGACTGCGGCTGGGGGACGTGTTGAGCTTGTCGAAGACCTCCGACACAGTGCTGCGGCCAGGGTAGGCGGCCTTCAGGCACAGGGCTAAGCCTTGTAGGTGAGGGCCTAGGGCCTAGGGGGCTAAAAAGTAGAATGTGTTGGTTTGGATGGGTTCCATACTCTACTTATGTTGGACAGCCCCAAGTTGAAGTAGTATGTCTTACCTGAACAAGGCTCCAGGGCCAAACAGAAAGTGCCGAGGTTCGAAGATCTGCGGAGGCGCAACAGCGAACTGCCTCGCAACGAGGTTACAGCCTCAGAGTAGAAGAGCGGTGGTTTGGGCTTGGAGTGTTCAGTTAAAGACTTCAGGGTTTTAGGGTTTTGAACTGCTACACAAGCTGAAAAGCATCAACTATCAAACCAATTATCACACTGAACAGGGTCAACCCCGGGAACCCAAAAACTATCCACAAAGCAAATCTCCCGAGCAGTGACACGAGCATGTTCTTTCCAATTGCAGCGTACTTCAGCGGCATCTTGCTGCCGCACCCCGTATCGCGACCTCTACCGGCGGAACCCTCCACCCCGCACCCGTATCGCGACTCCCACCGGTGGAACCTCCCGCGACCGGAACCTCCTGCACCACACACCGGTCTACCGGCACCAACCTCCCGCGCCCCCATCGGTGCCACGCCACCACCCCCATCACGACCCCCTTTGGTGGCACCTCCCGCGCCGCACCGCGTATCGCCCCTTTATTGGTGCATGGAAATTTCGGGTGGAACCACCCGCGCCGCACTCGCGCCGCACCCCGTAATGAGATTGTACCTCCACGCCGCCCGCAGCCCGTGTATCGTGACACCCCAGACCCATCCCACACCGTCTGGTCTCCCGCCGCACCCGTGACACCTCTCGGGCCGCCTGCAACGCGACCCCCATCGGCGAACCTGCCGCGCCGCACCCCGTCTCGCAATCCGCACTGGTGCATGGAACCTCCGCGTCACATTTCGGGGGACCCGTTGGACGCCGAAGGCTCTAAACACTTGTGCTGCCTCGCCGCACCCCGTATCGCGGTCCTTGCGGTTGGAGAATCTAAGGACAACCCGGCCCCCGAGGGGTGTTTGGGAAAACGAAATCACTGCAGTGGTCAGCGGGAATTTGTGCCCTAAGTCGATGCTTGCCTGATGAATGTGCCAGTGGCGAACAATGCAACACCATGCACGCTTGTGTCACTGCAAGACTGAGCCGCACAGCTGTCAATGCGCATCCGAGCCCGCCGCAGCAGCACAGGAGCCCGCTGCAGCAGCACAGGCAGCACAGCCACTCAAACGGGCCAAAAGTCCACGGTTCCTGCAGTTTAAAGTGCGTCCCGCTGTTCACGTGCAATTCCAACGCAGGCCCGAAAATTGTGAGAAATTGGAAAACTCTTCTCGACACCGGCACTTTCCACGTCCTCCTTGTAGAGCTGGTGAGACCTCTTTTGGCCCTGGATAAGAAGAGCTTTCTGCAAGGCTTGGTCGCGGAGGCCGCAGCAGAGCCCTGGCAAAATGGCTGCTGACTCTTGGTGATATGATATGATATGATACTATATCATATTATACTATTTTAACAACTCATATTTGTATTTACACTATATTAGAGGGCTTAGATGTCCAGGGTTCAGGGATTCAGCTATTTTTCGCTCTCAGCAAATCTAGCCGAATCTAGCCCCTTTTAAGGATCGTATACTTCAGGGCCACAGCTGCCTTTTTGAAGGTTGGGCTTTGAAGCAGCACTGGCGATCCGCTAGGACAAAACGACACTCCTGGACATCACACGTGATTCGGATTTTGCACTTTGGGGAAAGAACGCAAAAGCACTCGCGGCTAACAAATCGAAAAGTCTCCCAAACTCCTAACACTGCTGTTCTTTTCTTAGTATTCATGATTGCTGCTATAAGACTTCAAATTTCTGTCACTGTCATTAGTATTCTTGATAGTACTGTTATTTTTGCTCTTGTTCTTGTTACTGACGTTTTCTTGTTCTACTATGTTTTATAAGACCACCGCCTCGGGAGACCAGTCGGTATGGCAAGAAAGAGGCCTCGGACGGGACCGGGCGGCTTAGGGGCTTTGGGTTGAGGACTGGGGCTTAGGGGCTTAGGGCAGAAGACCTTAGGGTGAAGGGTCCCTGAAGGCAACAGATTCTAGGAATCTTCGCCTCCGCAGGTTCGAGGTCGGGCGGGGACAGAATGGGAGGGCAGTAGCAACTGTTGAAACGGGCTAAAGACTTGAACTACGTCATAGCACGGCGCAGCACCGCAATGCAAGGTTCTACAGCTTTTTGATAAAGGAAGTCATGGTGAGGCAATTCGGTGGTAATCCACTCGAGTCCAGTGCAGGATGTGCGGGATAGCTGAGTATGGCGTTGTATATAGCATGGTAGGAACGGAGTTGCGTAACATTGCGTAACCCAGATGAAGGTATATAGTCTCGGATGAACCAGAAAACGTGCGACGCAGGCCAGTGCAGTGCGGCGTATGGCATCCCGCAGAAGCTTGTTGGAGCAACAAGGCAGTATGTACTGAGCTGACAAAGACTATGAACTCAGATGACTGTGACACGACATGTAATTCGGCTAGGCACTGCACGTGGATGCTTGTCGTCCGCCGTCTGTAGTGCCACAATCGAAACTGGTCCATCCGCCACGTATTCCAAACGCACACGCACCTTAGATCGACATCAGCTTTGCAAAGGGCTTGGGGGCAAGGGTTTAGGATTAATGTTCACTGGGGTGACAGCCTTTCGATTTCAGGCTTTGGGTTTAGGCTTACCGGTTGGCCAGTTTTGGAGGATTGCAACGGTGCTTGACCTGATGCTTCCCAAGCGACACTGCCAATGGTTGGAGACTGGGCCGCGCTTTCTGGATAATACAACCTTCAATGATTTCACGCAGACTATAAAACCATGAGGAAGCACAAGATGGTTAAACCGTCTGAAGGTGCCCAGCTCAGCTCTCTTTGGCAACCGGGACGCCACCCTTCCGAGGGATTGCCGAATCGAGTGCCGTTGTACTCCAAGTTCTGTACGTGGCTATTGGCATTTTGCCAGTTGTCCAGCTGCTCGACCATCTCCTTCGGCAAGTAAAAGCCATCCTGAGTCAGCACATTCAACCACACGCTCGCCGGCACAAAAAGGACAAGCAGAAGCCTCCTGTTGCGACGACACGCTTCAGCTCATCCCTTTCAAGACTACACCCCCCCCCCCCCAAACACCTTCTAGGAAACCTGCTTCTGGAGATCGGCAGTCCAGAAAAAGGCTGCTGAAAGTGATGACGAGCCCTGTCCCAAGAGACCAGATGCAGAATACAGTGGACTCTGGTGCGCCCTGCGCCTTCTGGGCCCCATGAAAGTTTGCTTAAAGTAACGACTGAATCCAACATGGGAGTTTCCGAAAATGAGGGACCCTAATATAGTACCCTAAATAGTAGGATCCGGGATCCTTATTATAAGGACCCCAAAATAAGGTACCTCCCATATGGAGGTTTGGGCCTATCATCTCCCGAGTTATGGCAACCTCTGGTTTCTTCGGCCTGGCCACGCCATACTTGACCGTGGTGTTGGTGATCTGGACGGTGCCACACGGAAGTCCGGCGACGGAGATGGAGTTTCTTTCCGACGACTCACGGAACGAGGCGGAATCTATCTGGGTATCAGACCAGATTTCGCGATATGAATACATGGCCAACCGCTGGTCGTCAAGGTCCTTCACATAGCGCTTGTCCTCCTCCCACTGGTATACCTGGACTTGGCTCCTCATCCTGGCAGGGGGACGAGGACTACGCCCGACCTTTGGAGCTGCGAAGCATACAATAATGATACTGTTTTTCTACTAATGCCATAATATCACTATAATGATACTATAAAGATAGTAATACCATAATGACGCTAGTATTTGTAATACTAGCATAGAATCATACTATAATACGGCTGGTGCCCAAAATCCAGCATGACTGTGAATATCTCCACGGCTTCCCCGCTACCCTTAACTTTGATATTGCTCTGACGCACAGGCTAGAAGAAGGGCTTGCGCGAATGCCCAAATCCTGCATGACCTCATGGAGACGCAACGTTGACATTGAGGGGTTGTGGGGAAGTGGGTAGGTCGATGTAGAGTATGTAGGATGTTGCGGGTCATGCAGGAGTTTGGGCATCAACAGTAGTAAATGAGTCCTGTTGCACTTCCCTCTGACCTTGCAGAAATCCAGGCAACACCCCCCAGGCACCTCAGGCAGCCACTTTCCATGCGAAGTGCAGGGAAACGTCGATCCTGTGCCGCTGGAACCGGTTGGCGACATTGTGCTGGTGGGGGCAATGCTGGTTGCAGTGAGAGTCGGCAGTAGTAGTGCTAGTGGTAGTAGTCAGCAGTAGTAGTGATAATAGTAGTCACAGTGGTAGATTCAGAAGTCGAGTAAAGATAGCAGTAGCAGTAGTAGTAGTAGTAGTAGTAGTAGTAGTAGTAGTAGTAGTAGTAGTAGTAGTAGTAGCAGTAGTAGTACGGTTGATGATACAAATCCTGCAGTACCTTAGGGACCCTAAACTATGGGAATTATAGTATATTCCTTACAATGGGTAATGCAGGATGTATATCATGAACCGTAGTAGTAGTAGTAGTAGTAGTAGTAGTAGTAGTAGTTGTTGTTGTAGTAGTAGTAGCAGCAGTAGTAGTAGTGGTATTGGTAGTAGTAGTAGTAGTAGTAGTCGTCGTCGTCGTCGTGGTAGTGGTAGTGGTAGTGGTAGTGGTAGTGGTAGTGGTAGCGGTAGTGGTAGTGGTAGTGGTAGTGGCAGTGGCAGTGGTAGTGGTAGTGGTAGTGGTAGTAGTAGTAGTAGTAGTAGTAGTAGTAGTAGTAGTAGTAGGAGTAGGAGTAGCGGCAGCAGCAGCAGGAGCAGTAGTTGCAGTAGTAGCAGTAGTAGCAGTAGTAGCAGTAGTAGCAGTAGTAGTAGTAGTAGCCGCAGCAGTAGCAGTAGCAGTAGTAGCAGTAGCCGTAGCAATAGCAGTAGCAGTAGCAGTAGTAGCAGTAGCCGTAGCAATAGCAGTAGCAGTAGTAGTAGTTGCAGCAGTAGCGGTAGCAGTCGCAGTAGCAGTAGCAGTAGTAGCAGAAGTAGCAGTAGTAGCAGTAGTAGTCGTAGTAGTAGTAGTAGTAGTAGTAGTAGTAGTGGTAGTAGTAGTAGTAGTAGTAGTAGTATAGTAGTAGCAGTACTAGTAGTAGTAGCAGTAGCAGTAGCAGTAGTAGTAGCAGTAGTAGTGGTAGTAGTAGTAGTAGTGGTGGTAGTAGCAGCAGCAGCAGCAGTTGTAGTAGTAGTAGTAGTAGTAGTAGTAGTAGTAGTAGTAGTAGTAGTTGTCATAGTCATAGTAATAGTAGCAGCAGTAGCAATAAGCAGTAGCAGTGGCAGTGGCAGTAGCAGTAGCCGGCAGTGGCAGCAGCAGTAGCAGTAGCAGCAACCAGCAGCAGTAGTTGTGGTATTGTTGCTGTTGTTGTTGTATTTGAAGCTACAGTTGCACTTGCAGTTGGAGTTGCAGCTGTGGCGGCTGCGGTCACCAAACGCCGACATGCTTGCAATCCAAAAAATGAGATCTAGCCTGCTACTGTCACTACACGTCATTTCTTGAGACATTGCTACCCACCGCATCACCTGCAACCTTGCATGATGAATGGCTTCCAGTTGTCGCATAAGTGGTGTCGTGAGGCGATCGCGCTTTCCATCTTCCAATCCGGTTTCATTTCGTTTCATGCAACTTCTAGCTGGTCTTTTCTACTTTTTCACATGATACTCTCATTTGTCCTCGTGTAGTGCGTTATATTACCACTTACCCTGATTGGTCCTGACTCGTGTAATTTCTTCATCATCCTGCCTGCTCATATCCTGCAAGAACAGGTAGTCCCAAATCCAGTTCCCAAATCCGAATTCGGACGCTGATTTCCACCTCACTGGGCAACATCTGTCGGAGTCTCCTTCATCTCATCCATACCCTGAGCATCGGCGTCGTTCATGTGAATCAACCTGCATCGCTTCTGCGGGGTGCTAAGCTTAGTCGCACCTTCCATGACATCAGTCCTTACATTGCAATTTTTGTGCTATGGCTTCCGGGGTTTGGATTATACGATTCAAGGTCAGTTCAAGCTCCACCTGCAGCAGTTCAGATACAGCTGGAGTCCCAGGCGTTCGGCAGATCTTTTTCGTCCCGTCCCAGAACATGTACTCGAACAGCACAGGCGAGTTTTCAAAGGATGGAAGACCAGAAGAGAGCTGTTGCCAGAAGATGGAGCCGAGCAACGTTCCATGCAGTTGTTCGTCGACCCACCTTGCGAGCAATCGCCATGGAATGAAAAGATGCGGCCGGTTTACGGTCTAGGGTACTGCGATTGCAGCTGTTGACGCAGCAACTGTAGAGATCCTCAAGAAAAACCAACGAATGCAGCGCCGAGGAGCTTGGATGTAATCGTCTGCACCTTGTGGAGCTAGCACGATGGACCCGAGGAAAACCAAGCGATGGTGATTGAGACGAAGTTTACGATTCTGACTATGACTTTAGATAATGCTGCACCGTGCTGCCATTGAGTAGCCGTCATGCCTATAAGTGGTGCAATGATGCTGCTCGCTAGATAAGAGACCTTTCTCGCTCCGTGAAAAGACTGATGATGATGATGATGACGTCTCTTATCCTTCATTCAGTATCCCCCTCAAAAACGGGGGAACCGGATTGATACCTCCGGACCCGCCAACATCCCGAAGTGGCCAATAGCAAGTTAATACGCACCAGATCGATGCTTCCCAGCTGCCTCTGACCTTCCCAGCTGGAGGATGCTCTCCTCAAGCTCCCGACTTAGGGCTGGAGATTTTCAGTACGGGTTAGGGTTTCGGGTTTAGGGTTTAGGGGTTTGGGGGGGTAAGGAAGTGCCACATCTCCTGCTGGGCATTTCTCTCTTCGTTCATCCACATCAGAGCCTGAGATTCAAGCATCTCGCAGGAACGCGCTCAAATGCATTGATCCCGACGAAGTATGGAAGCAGATCTAATCATCTAATCACTGCAGCCAGGCACCAATGAAAAAAGAATCAACCAGAGGCCGGCGACAACACTCCAAATTGCATTGCCAAGCCTGGAGAACCACGACCTAAGAACTTGGGCTGGGGCTGCAGAATGGCAACTCTGCAAAGAAGCCGGTGCGCATGCCCCAGGTTCCAATCTCACATAAGTCTGGAACCGGTGTTCAACAGTGACGTTGGGCTCTTGCTGTGCCTTCTGGATGAGATCAGTGGCCTGCAAAGATACCAGCAGCACAAACAACCCGACAACATTACTGTGGTTACTATAGGGGCCTTAATAATTAGAATAGGGTTGGGCCCATTGTACTATACTTATAATAAGAACTAGAAACCCCAAAATAGTATAGGGAATTATTAAGGCCCCTCGAGTACTTCATGTGGTGCTTCTCGCACCTTTGGATGCAAGGCCATCTGTCCAGGCTCCAGGCTGCTTTTGGATGTGACATGCGACTTCTTCAGTGCCAAGTGCTCCTGCAAAACCACATGCTGTGCAAACAGCAGGAATCACTTGTATCATTCTGGGAGGGCGCAGACATCCGACGACAGATAAAACCGTTTGGCAACACCTGCAAGAGACGCAATGACTCGACCGGTGCATCGATGTCCAAGTCTTCAGCCTCAGAATGCCAGGATCAACGACACGAAAGCATTCTCTGGGAGACAAGGACACGAAAACGAGCCACAACATCCTTGGCAAGATGTACGGTACACAACTGTACTGGTTCTGTAAGGTTAGATTTTGATGCATCAGGCAGTTGCACCGTGCCACATGCCGCCCAGTCGCTGGATTCCCTTCTGCATAAGCGGACAGAATCAGAGTCCACACAATAATGGCAAGCATACCTCAGCAGCACAATTGAGAACAGACTCTTTGAACAGACCAAAACGGTGCGACGAAAGGACAGTCTGTAGAAAGCCAAAGCCAGGATGCTTGTATATGAAGTCTGGCACTGGCGAGGGCGCGTGCGGCGGGTAGCGAGGGAGCCCAGCCTCAGCGGCGTGCACCCAAACAAAAAAGACTTCGCCAAGATGCTCGACATAGTTCAGACAAGCCACGCCAGTGGTCATGTATGCCAAATCCATGCCATATGGAGGTTCAGTTCCTGACTTGAGCCATAAGATCGTCACGGGAATGTCACCTTGACTCTGTCAAGCACAAGTTCGCAGCGAGAGCAGTCTACTTCAAAACCAATATTGAAGGAATCCTCAAAAAATGCCCACGAACACGACTGCTGACCACGAGGTAGTTCCTCTGGAATAATCAACGGATAGACCCAACAACACTGTATTCAACTGATGACTGCAATACAAGAGCTGCCGTAACGAGTGCCATAAGGGCTTTATAAAGGGTCAGGGACTGAGGGTCTAGGTGCTTCTACTAGGGTGGTTGGTTGTCAAAGTTATGGTCCCTTTTTGGGTCCCTAATATAATACGGCACCTAATATTGAGGGCACCCTAAAAAGGGTCCTAATTTTGACAACTACCCAAGACTAGGATTTGGGAGTTGAGAGCATCGGGGCCGAGAAAGGAGGCACCTGGGAGCCACACCACTCGCTTTTTGCCGGCGATCTCCACGAGCGTCACCACCTGAAAGCCACCCGTTTTTCGGGTTTTTGATTTAGGGTTTTGGACTTGGGCTTGTTCATCAGGGACACAGGGATTCATTGCAGAAGTCAATCCGGGTCTGGAAGGGGTTGTAGTTTGATTGCTTAGGGCGTGTGGGCCAAGCGTGGGGTTGTTTTTGGTGCGGAAGGGGGTCTTGAGGTCTCCAGTGTTCCGGGAAAAAGACTGCACGACCCAGACAATATAGGGCCTTAATAATTAGAATAGGGTGTTGCGGGGCCATTATACTGTAAATACAAGAAGGAACCCCCAAATGGTACAGGTAATCCTTTAGGCCCCTACATTACCGTTTCCTCTACTGCCCTTTCACACCGACAGCTGCTTGGATCTCGAACCCCACACAAAAGTAGATTTCGAGCCCAATGATCGGAACTCCAAGACCCTTTGTAAAGCACATGAATTCCCTGACTCCTATGGTTTCGATTCACTTTCGACATGCCCATGAAAATGTGCCATGATGCTAATGATAAGCATGACGCCAGCACTACGCGAAAAATGACTGCTACTACGATCACCTAAACATTGTTTGACAGTCTGAGAACAACGGCAATGAGGCTAAGAGCTACGAGTACTCCGTGGACTAAGGCAGCAATTTAAACAAGTTCAAAACATACTGGTGACACTGGCTCATCAGCACCACATGCATAACGCCCAATGAAAAACGTCGCCAGCAGCAGTAGTTCCGATAATCCACGAATTACAAACACAAACTGCTTGCTGCAATAGCAGAAAAATAATGGGAATTATGTGAACAAACTCTTCGATTTGATGACCACATTCGCAAACACAGGGCGACACTACTCATGTCGTTGATCATACTCACCACAACGTTTTCACCATAACGACCACCATCACAATAGTTGGGGCAATGGTATGAGAACAGATACTGATAATCATGGTTAACAATTGCGTCTTCGTACCGTAATGGTGATAGAGATGTTCATGACCACCGCCATAGTACGAAGTCCGGCAGCAACAAAAAAATACAATATGCAGCATAGCAACAACAAAGTTACCAGAAGGTAAACATACATATCAAAAAACACCCTAACAGCAACAACATACCAACAATGGGATAACAACAAATCAAGAACACACCCCAGACCCTATGCTAGAACCTAAAAAATCTACGGCTCATTGTGAAACCTAGTTTTCACCAAAAAGTGCAGGCCTTGGAATCGCCGGGCTCGAAGCGGACAGCCGAGCCCGAGGGGACGTTCAGGCGTCGGCCATAAGCCTTTGGCTCTGGTTCTGCAAAAGCCGGGGGTTTGAAGAGCGAACTACTGCTGTTCTCGAACCTGCGTCTGTTGAGTACGGTTTTTGGCTGTTGATGTAGGGCTTTAAAAGGTGTTGCACCCAGATCGCTCCAAACCCTTAATGCCAACATCCTGAAACCTTAAAGCCCTGCAAACCTGAAATCTTGAAGCCTTCCAGCAGCCCTTATAGAATCCCAACAGTAGCCTTTCTGGAAACCCTTTAAGCCCTCCCGCTCCACTAGCCCCGCACCTTCGCACGGTCGAACACCAAAGCTTTGTTGGTCTCGATGAAGTGGTAGTGTGATCCCACCTCCGACGAGATACCGCAGTTAACATAGGGACCTTTTACTAATTAGTACAATTATGTGGGTACTTTGGGGGGCGGGGCACTACAACTGATTCCGGACCCGAGGTTCAAAAGGGCACGAAGGAGACCCTGGGGCTGAAGCCACAGAAGCCCTAAACTTTACAGGATCCTTGAAGTATCCTTTAGGGACCCTTCTTATAGTACCCCTTTATAGCATCCCTTGCAGTATCCCCTTATGGTACCCCCCTTTTAGTATCCCTTAAAGTATCCCTTATAGTGCCCCTTATAGATCCCGAAACCCTGAGGCCCCCCAAAAAAGCAGGAGAAGGGATGTCCTCTGTCCATGGCTTCCCGAATTCTGCAGTTTCAACTCTGATCCCGGGGATGCTCGCATTTGGGGTTCAGGGGTTAGGGCTTAGGGTTTAGGGCTCAGGGTTTAGGGTTTAGGGTCCAGGGGTTAGGGCTTAGGGTTTAGGGTTTAGGGTGCAGGGTTTTAGAGCTCCGGCTCTGGGGCTTTGGGTTCAGGTCTCGCAACCGTCCAAAGCCATCTAAAGCTCTTAGGCCTTGCCACGGCAAGGCCATAAACCCCCCCTTAACCCCCAAAAGCCCCCTGTAAAACCCTAAGGAGGAGCCCAGGCTGCCTGGATTGGCCGGTCACCCGTGTTCGTGACGGCAAGCTCGACGAGGGAGCGACCGGCATTGAGCTCGATGCCCTCCAGACACGCTGAAACGCTCCAAGAGTCTCTTAGGGGGACGTGGTGTTTAAGGTTTAGGGTTAAGGTTTAGGTTTTTGTATGCTGCAAGTACATAATCAGCATCGAACCTGTCCTTTCTTCAGTATCTGCAGGGCTCAGGGCCGGGAAAAATAGACTCGGGGTGCCGGGGACACTGTACTGGAAGTTTCCGGTCATTCAATGCGTTTTGTCTGGACTAGAAGTCCTGTCTTGCCTGGCACCTGTGCCCAACCAAAGAGTGGACTGAATTTGGGAGGTGAAGGGTCCGCTACCTCAAAAGGTCGCAAGTGCACTCGCGGAAAATGGCAGAAACCGTGGCATCGAAACCTCTCAACATCTCGAACTTTCCTGCTCCGGCTCCTGGCTCCAGGCTCCCGGCTCCTGGCTCCTGCCTCCGCATCTTCCTCTGCTAGCCCTACGACTACGACTACCACTCCTATCCCTCCACCACTACAAATACTAGTCTATCACGACGACGACGACAGCGAGGACGGCACAACTACGACGATGACGGCGACGGCAACAGCAATGACGCGACGACGATGACGGCGCAGACGTCTACGATAGCGACGACGGGGACCACCAAGATAGTCACGACGGCGACAACGACTCTCTTGTTGCTGCACTTTTGCCTCTTCCTTGCGGGAGTGTGTTGACTCAAGTTGCTGCAGTCTCTCAAGCCACAATGACCTCTGCATCTGCGGCGGTGATCTTGCCAGGGCCCTGTGCATCTGCAGAGTTGCGACAGGCTTCGGGTGCTTGTGCTGGCCTCTACTGCTTCCTAAGCCCACAACCCGTAACTCATAACCCCAAAACTGAACAATCTTAAACTGCAAAGTCTCAACTCTGGGAGGAGTTGCGCTTGACCAGTTCCTTCCTGAAGCCAAATCCGTTCGGTGCTGGGGATACGGAAATTCTTCGTTGGGCTCCTTAACGGGATACCTGTCAAGCTTGCTCAGAGCAGTATTAAAGTCACCCCGAACGTGAAAGCTTGAACCAAAATCATCATCATACGCAAGCTGGATGCTCCACTACAGAGCACTACAGCAGGCAATGACAAAAACGGTAAATGTCTGCATCTACTCAGCAACACTGATACCTATCGCGTGCGTAATCCTCATAAGCATGGACATGTTCGAGACAAGAGTCGCATCGTCATAGTCTGAATCAGGGTCAGAGTCGCGGTCAAAGTCATAGGTGGAGTCATAGTCATAGTCATAATACTCATCAAACTAAGAATCAGAGAAAGCATCAGCGTGACAAAATCAAAACAACCATCAGACTAAAACTCCGAAGACACAGAATGATACTAATGTTCATAGCAATCACGATGCCAAGAAAAGGCTGTAGCCTTACGAAAACGCTGCACGCTCCTCCGGCGGCTGAGCAGGCGAGATCTGGCTTTGGGATTCGGGCTTTCGCGGCTGAAACGCTGACTTTAGGGTTCAACGTTTGGGGTCTAAAGTTTAGGGTTATCCTACACACTGCACCCCACTCCAAGCAACCCAGGACCATGCCGACGATCCCTCGACTCGACGATGTGACTTGAGGGCTGGAACCCAGGACCATATATGGACCCGAAGCGCCAGACCCAAGACCCCCAAACCCAAAAACCCAAAACCCTACAACCAAAACCCCAACACCCTAATTTTTTTGATTGGACCCCAAACCCCAACACCCCAAAGACCCCCAAAAGCCCCAAAAGCCCCCGGTAAGGCACCTCCTCCTCAGCCAGATCCCCGAAGGCCGAAAGCTCAGGCTCAGGCAGGAAGGAGCCTCGCAGAGTTGGCTTTGGGTGTTTCGGTGGTTTTGGGGGGGGCGTTTCGGGATTCCGGGTACCGGCAAGTTAGGGGTTTCGGGATTTCGTGTTTAGCATTAAAGGTTAGCAGTGAGGGCTATTACCATCGGTATTTTCAGTATTAATCATACTGTTGTTGTTGCGGTTACGAGTACGATTGTCATAACGACCACGGTTACAATGACCATCTACTACAACAACTACAACTATTACTACAATTACAACGGCAACTACTACTACTACTACGACTACTACTACTACTACTACTACTACTACTACTACTACTACTACTACTACTACTACTACTACTACTCCTGCTGCTACTACTACTACTACTCCTCCTCCTCCTCCTCCTGCCGCTGCTGCTGCTGCTGCTGCTGTGCTGTTACTACTACTACTACTACTACTACTACTACTACTACTACTACTACTGCTACTACTACTACTACTGCCGCTACTATTACTGCTACCTGCTGCTGCTGCTGGCACTGCCACTGCCGCTACGACTACGACTACGGGTACGACTACGACTGCGACCACTACTACTCTTACTAAGTACTACTAACCACTACTACTTAACAATACCTAAGTACATACATACCTACGTACATATACATACACACATGCGTACATACACACGTACGGACACACATACAGGTGCACATACATAAGTGTATGTGCGTACGTGTGTTCTAAGTCAATGTGCCAGTCTTTATATGTAAACAGAAATGTGTATACAGATGCTGCCTGTATACCCGAAAATACTAGTAATATCAGCGCTTTTCTGCACATGTGTTTACAATGCTGCATTATCAACATGTGCGAATATCCGCACAATGTACTGTTTACATTTGCATGTGTCAGTGCATGTACATAAACATGCACATGACGCATCATCTTGACATGCAAACACATCTGTTACAACTAAAACAGCCCCACTTGCGTGTCGCATGTTGCATGTGACCGTATGTGGAAAACAGCCACACTATGAGCCGTAATACAAGCTGTGCAAAAGCACATGTAGTTTGTTTATATATATATATATATATGTAGGTAGATAGATAGATGGGTAGGTACGTAGATAGGTAGATAGGTAGATAGAAAGATACGTGTGTGTGTTTGTGCTTGTGTGCGCGTGCCTGCGTGTGCGCGTGCATAAGCACATATGTATACTGTATGCACGCGCTTAGGTTCGTTCTGCAGCTTTATCAGGTAATGAGGAGGACGACAGTAGCAGTCAATTATCACCAAGCTTATCACCATCATCATCTCAGATATGGCCAATATAGCCAATACCGCAACAAAAACTAGTATCTATGGTGAAAGTAACCAGGGTGAAGGCTGTGACATCGGGGCCTGAAACTATTTGGAATAGTGCTTGGGCTGTGTAAATAGTTCTTCAGTCATTCCGAGTTTCCACGTAGAAGCATCTGCCGTGTGCCGGGAACTGAAGGTTTGCTCGACTTCCTCAAAAGCTCCGACAACTTCGAAAGCAACAAACACAATGCTCAGGCAGACGTCTTCGCAAGCACTCTGACAGCGAATTTTCTTGGCCGTGGAGCTATGTTTGGGCCCAGCGCTGCTGGGGCGACATAAGACATAAGTTTAAGAAGTGAAGGATGCACGGCTAAGAGAACAGCTGGCCTTTGGGCGAGGGCGGTGGCTTCAAGGTTATAGGCTTCAGGCTAGCTCAGCTTTTCCCCGTGCTTCTGTTTAACAGACTCTCGACCCGTAATCCAAACCCCGGAACCTTAAGTTCTGAGTCCTCAACACTACTCCCTAAAGGGCTTTTACCAGCCCACGACCGGAAAAGCCTCCTAAAGCCCCAGACCCAAAGGGCCACCAGTCCGTGCGCCTACATTGAAAATCGTTCCCTGCTTGAAACTACTCGCGCAGCCGACCGCCAGCCTCAGGAGCTAAACCCGCAACCCTTCGAGCAACCGCAACCGCAACCGGAGGTCTCAAGCCCCAAACACTCCTGCAATCGACCTAGAACCCGAAACCTGAAGGCCCTAAACTGAAGCCTTCAGAAATCTGAAACCCGTCTGGCAGCGCGCGAAAAGGACGGAGGGGGAGCCCTGGGTCGTCCTCTTCCCCTGGGCTCAGAGCCCTCCTTTTCTGCTCCCGCACCGCCTGCGTCCTCGTGTCCTTCCACCTTTTTTCAAGCTGTCACCGTGGTTTTTTTGGGTTTTTGTGCTTGGGTTTAGGGTTTACAAGGAATAGGGTTTAGGGGCCTTGAAACAGGCCCCGCAAAAAATGGCTTAAGTCTGTACTTTGGTTACGTGTTCAAGGCCGCATTCATTTCAGCAAGCCCGTTTGAGTTGGGGAACTTCACCTTTGGGGGTTCAGGGTGGCCTAGGGCTCGGGCCAACGCAATGTGTGGACTAGTCGTGGGGCGGAGCAGCACGAGGGGAGGCGCATCCCGGTGCAGGAGACTGACACAAGAAACAGGTTCAAAACATCAGAAGCCTTCTTGATCTCAGGCTTCCTCAGGCTGAGATGCCGATTGTTGTTCAGACGCACAGGTGGAGCACGCAGCCCATGAGAAGCTTCCCGCGATTGCTGCTTCTAGCGTTGAGTAGTCACTGCGCCACCCGATTCCAAAGCGGTCAGCACTTTAATCTGTAGCTACGAGTAGCCTACACTCAACGGAACCGGACGCCAGGGAAGCTCGTGGGCTCGTGAATCCACAGCTTGCCGTCACATAATGGCTTTTGGCCGAAGATCAAGTTCAAACAATGCCTGCGGATCGTGGGTGTATGAGGATCCAGCGTTTTAAACGCAAGGCCTCAAAACCCACCAAAGCTGCTCTGGGCTGGGAGCCTCGACAGCGCAGGCGTTCCGACGGAGAAAACTTGGGCTTGTCGACAAGCCACGTTTTTTCATCAAGGGGGTCCAGGTTTTCTTCCAGGTCTATGGCTTTCATACAGGCTTTATCGGGCTTATACAAGGGCTGAAGGCTCAATGTCTTAGGGGCTAGGTTGGAGATTGCAGGTTCAGGGTTGAGGGAGCAAAACACATTAAGCCCGCTGAAGATCCTGTAATTCCCTGCCAGAAGCCCATACAATTCTCAGAGAAGTCAATACAATTTTCAATGAGGCCAATCGCCTAGAAAACCCGTGGAAAATGCGCTGAAATGCGTCTCTTCCGAGAAGTGCCGTAGCAAGCTCTTCCTCAACATTCGTTGCTCGCGTTCGGTAGACCGGCGAAAAAAGGATCAACGAAGCAAACATAAGCTTAGGTTCCTAAGCCCTAAACCCTCAACCCTGCAGTTCACAGGCTTATAAGGCTTCCGTATATGTAATTTTTTTGGATACCAGTCTAAGTCGTGTCAGGTTGATTCTACAAGGATTCAGGGTTACGGCTTGAGCGGTTGGGGTTCAGATCAGGACGTGAGAACTTTCGGGTTTGGGGTTTATGGTCGTTGCCGCTGGAAGAAGACCGGTGGTACCGATTTTCGTTAGGGCTTAGTGAGTGTTTGTGATTCTTGTAGGCCTTTGGATTCCTTTAAGGGTTCCTCTAAAAGGTTCTACCACAAGCGTTCTGAAGGGGCGTTCATAACTCGAATTTAGCTTCGTGGTTTTTTTGTCGGACTTCAGATGACCCGACTTCCCAGTCTGCCGCATTACCAGCCCGAGCCCACCCTCTGACCCAAAACACGCAAACCCATTAAGACGTCTAGGGCGTAGGAGTGTAGGAGTAGGGTGCAGGGTGTTAGACCTCGGATTGAGGGTTTCGGCTCAGGGATTGCAACGTCGCGTCTGTGTTTACTGTGTTTGGGTAGGTCCTGCAAGGGCTTTACTACGTAGCCAAGAAGACAAAACAGAACATCGTGAAGCACATGTTCTAACAGTAACATCTAGCACGGCGGGGACTTCGCTTCGAACTTTGTTGCCAACGCCCGATTCAGCGTGTAGGTATACGATTGCAGAGCGAAGCTGGTTGAGACATTACGAGAACAGCGGGCTTTCTCAGACTTTAGGACTCAGAATACACAGAACTCCATTCGAAGAGCAGACTTAGGAGCCATGCAAAGATGCCTTGAAACCGGAAAGGGGGAGATCCTGAACTTCCTAAATGCTCAAGGATGCTCATAGCCTCAGCCCTCGAGGTTTAGGGCTTACGGTTTAGGGTAAACCCTAAACATTGCCAACAAGGGAAATCCTCCGAATGCAAGCTTGCCTTGTAGGGTTTAAGAGTTCGGGCTCGACGGCTCCCAAGGGGCAAAGACATGCCCGATAACATCTGGGAATTGAGATTGACAGGCTTCGATGGCCTGTTCTAAGGGCGCGCCCCTGGCACCACATGTGGGTGCACGGAAAAGCCAGGTGCACCGTTCTATCTGCAGAGAAACAAAGGCTCTGCATCCCGACTCAAGAGCCGAACCGCGCAGAACTTGAAAGCACTGGGGCCGGATGGAAGCCGCTGGGCCCTAGCGGGCGGCACCTCTATGTGCTAAGATGCTGAGATACGCTGTCTTTCAGGCTTCCTTCCGCCCCTGGCCTTTCCAGCCGAGCGAGCGGCAGCGCGGCTTCCCTGATGCAGCGGAGACCACCCATGGGCCTGCACCTGAGCCATGGATCCGACTATCAGGGTTTTGGGTTAAAAGCCCTTCGAACCCGAGCCGCTGCGGCCTTCCGAACCGGAACCGAAGCCATGGACCCTCAAAGCCGAAACTTCAATCAGCCGGTACATTGAGCTTTCCATGAAGAGAACTTCAACAAGTAGACGAGCGTAGAAACACAAACAATAGCAACAACAATAATGCTTCTTCGCTTGCCCCTTTCCGCATCGCTCACCCATGGCAGTCCGAGCATCTCCCCAGGAGAACACCATGCACACCGATGGCTTTGTTCATGCTCTGCTTCCCTGGGCAAAAAGACATATAATATTCACTGTTGCTATCAATGAACCGTCTTGAAAGAGTACTACTGAAGATAATGCAACCCATATATATATATACATGATTCGGAGGAGACCCGGGCGTGGAGTCACGTGTAATTCGCAAAGGTGTGATACAACGTGGGGAATTGCTCGACAGTTGGGCTCCCTGTCAACGTGAACCTACTGCAACAAGGAGTGCTAACCATGACCGACAATCTAGAGTCCTTTAAGGGCTTGAGGTTTAGGGTTGGCGGGGGTCCACCCTTTGAAGCGATGAGAAGGGGAAATGGGGTTAGTAAGCTTCTGATTCTGCTGCAATAATGGTAGCCTGCTTTGAAACAACACCCACCTGAGAGCCATTGAAACAGTTGAGGGCAGCTAATAATGATTACTGATGCTAATGCTGTTCTTCCTACTAGTCCTGCTCTTGGAAGACCACTTCTACGACTACTACTCCCACTACTACGACGACTACTACTACTGCGAAAAATAAGACTACTACGACTACTACGTCGACTACTACCTAGTTACTACTTCCTCTTGTACTGCGACAATGGTTCTGCCTACCACTACCACCACCATCCCGACTACCACAACAACTAGTGCGACCACGACGACGACTACTGCTCCAAATGCGGCCATTGGTACTGCTACTGCTGCTACTACTGCTACTACTGCCTCTACTGCTACTACTGCTACTACTGCTACTACTGCTACCACTGCTACCTACTACTACCGCTACTGCTTCTACAACTACTACTGCTGCTACTTACTGCTGCTACTGCTACCACTGCTACCACCGCTACTGCTACTGCTACTGCTACTGCTACTGCTACTGCTACTGCTACTGCTACTGCTACTGCTACTGCTACTGCTACTGCTACTGCTACTGCTACTGCTACTGCTACTGCTGCTGCTGCTGTTGCTACTACTCCTCCTCCTCCTGCTCTCCCACTACTACTGCCATAGCAACTGCTTCTGCTTCTGCTTGGAATTTTACTCCTTTTCGACTACGAAAACCAACAACAATGGCAAACAGTTGCCGCCACCACGACCACCACCACCACCACCACCACGATCATTACTACGATCACTACTAATTCGACGACGGCTATGTCTCTTGTACTACCACTACATCTGCCACTGCAACCACTAATACTACTGCTGCTGCTACCGCTACCATGACAATCACCAATACCACAACTGCTACCACTGCCTCTGCCTCTACAACTCCTCATCCTCCTACCCCCAAGCACAACCATCCAAAAGTTCCCAACCAAAATCCTCGACCCCTGCACGATGCCTCCCCTTCTGGGTCCATGGTAGTCACAGTCTCCAGGCTCGGCTCGCGGGAGATGAACTTTTGGCTCTCCTCCCCTTAGACGATCACTGCTCTTACTTCTACTCTTAGTAGTGCTCGAAAATCAATATTTTTGTATTACTATGATACTGTTGCTGTTATTAGTATTGCTTACCGGGCTTACCGATGTCATGAGTTTCGGCCCTGGCGGGTGGGGGGGGGGGGGGGTAGGGGGGTTCTGGGGCCACATTGCAATGTAGATTTGCAGGGATAGTAAGGGGAAAGCAGCAGTCCCCAAACCTTGCACCCTAACGACAGCGATGGTAAAACGTGACGAGACCCCCTGTCGCCTACAACTATTGGCTCGTCGCGTATCGCTCTGTGATTTGCTGTGCCATAGAAAGTATGCCATACTACCTCGCACTGTTTCGCTGCTACAATACATCTTACCACGGAGCATAACATCGTAGCACAGAACAGTCCACTACACTATGATAAACAGAAACCTCTCACAACGTATTGCGTTGTCACATTGAGTCGGCGTCCTTTTGCGCTCCCCTGGATTGCATTACACGGAATTCCAGCTCACACACTGCAAGGAACTCGTGTGCGTTGGATGTAAAATTCCGGATCTTGTGATGGTAGCAGTTGCGAGTAGGAACAGCAAGAGTAGTAGTGGTAGTCATACACTACCATCAACCCCCAACCATGAACCCTATCTGTGGATTCCTTAAAACTCTAAGCCCTAAACCCTATCTGTGGATTCCGTACATGCAGGCCCAGGTACCATCTTGAACTTGCGAAACGGCTCGCGACACCTCTGCTCTTCCCAAGAGCACTTGTGGTCTTCTGTGTTTAGGATTTAGGATTTAGGGTTCAGGGCTTCGGGTTTAGGGTTTCGGGTTTAGGGTTTCGGGTTCAAGGTTTCGGGTTTAGGGTTTCGGGTTTAGGGTTTCGGGTTTAGGGTTCTGGGTTTCATGGCGCAGTAAGGGCTTTCGACGGGTTTTGAAAGGTGCGCAAGGTTTTGTACTGGTGTTGTAAAGGGTGTACGAATGGGGTCGAACAAGGCCTCTTAAGGTTTGCTGATGGAGATATCGACTAAGAGCTATAGTCCTAATCCTGACAACTGGAATCCTAGGCCGCCACCATGTCATGGAACCCCGCGGCTGACTTTCGAGGTTCAGGGCTTTGGATGTTTTGGGCTTGGGGGAGTTAGGCTTAGGGCTTAGGATTCTCCAAGAAACCCTTCCCCTACCCCAAACCGCGCAGCCAGCCGTCCTCCACACCTTAGGGATTAGTAGACAAGACACACATCCTAGGGAGGATCAAACTAATGGGGGGTTCCTATAAAGTACCCTTAGTAGCATAGGGCCCCAAATTCAATTTGGGGGCCCAGCTTTCGATGTGGGGCTCAAGGAATGGGACTCTGGGCTTCGAGGTTTAAGGCTTTGGGGTTCGGGGGACAAGGGTTTAGGGCTTGGGGTCTCGGGGAGCATCGCACCGAGGACTGCTTCACCTCCGTCTTCAAATGCATCCAAGAGAGGGGCCTCTATTATGAGAGGAGGGCTGTGGTATGTTATAGTCGGCCAAGGTGCGGCTTTCGACACCACATGCTCCACCTGCGCTTGAAACCCGGGGTGCTGGGACTGTTTCGGTTTAGGGTTTGGGGATGTTAGGGTTGGATCATAAGGGCGCCCAGAGCATGCTTGCAGCAAGATTGTTGGAACAGCTGTCGAGGTTCCCATGATAGGGCCTCAGGATCTCGACATTAAGTACGGTGAAGGGTTTAGACCAGGTTTAAAGCAGCGATGTTGGGGTGCAGGCGGCACCACCAGGAAGCCCCAGAACGACTAAAACCGCTCGGAGCCTTCTGCGGGTCGCTGCCCACGGAAAGCAAAAAGGGTTGTTTTAAGCGGTAGAATTCCGTAAGCCTGTGACTTCGAGCTTGAGAAACCACAAGCTCGGAAGGCTTCCAGTCAACAGTTCCCCCGCCGCGGAAGGCAAACGCAGGGCTCTTGTTCAGGGGTTGAAGAGTTGAAGACTTTTGCCTGAGAGTCGTGGGGCCCTTTGGGATTTAGGATTCTTGAGCGGTCGAGCCTAGGGGATCACAAGCTTGGTTGAGGAAGGATAGGGGTACAAGTGGGCGTTTCGAAACAGGGGGTACCCGATCTAGGGGTCATGATCCGGCTGATTCGGGTTCTAAGACTCCTGGCGCTGAGCTTCTGGAAAGCTCAGCCTTCGGGCTTGAAAGGAGCATTGAAGCCAACTTCTGCCGCCCTGGGACCCTCCATCTGATGTTACATGACCCATCACGTTTTGCATAAAGAGCCCGCATGCATGTCTGCACGCATGCATGCATGCATGTATCAATGTATCTAGGTACCGAAGTACGTATGTATGAGACACACTACACAAACGCAGAGTGGCGAACAAATGCGTTGCTTCACACCTTCCAATATCACAAAATCCTGCAAACCCTATCAGCCCTGTCAACCGTTAGCCGGGGAGCATCGACATTGGAGAGCAGCCGGGGCAATCTGTTGACCCACCCCGGAAGGCCACGTCCGGTGAGCCTCAAGGAGAAAAGTCCGCAGGTCAAGTGAGGGGGTTGCTGGGGCTTGGGGCACGATGCTTAAGGCTGCAGTTCCCTGAACCGGAAAGCCTAAAACCGCTTAGGACTCGAACTCCGTGGTGTGGTTCGAGGGTAAGGGTTTAGAGCTGTTGTGCTGTGTTTGCAAGGCGGGGATTCTGCGGTAGTCGGAAACAACACTCGAGAACTCGACGAATGCTTGGAATCGTGGTGCATAAAGCTTCAAAGATCTTGAACTTCCACTCAGGCTTCACCCATCTTCGTGATCAGCTAAGCTGGCTCTATGGTTTAGGGTCTTTTTTCAAGTGCAATTGCTTTAGGGCCTAGTGTTTGAAGTTTGGGCTTATAAGTAGGGTCACCATAGATAAATAAAAAAATATATATATATATATAATCATATTAGGGGACTTTTTTTGGCTCCATTTATATCTACCCATGAACCTCCAAGTAGGGTTTAGGAAAAGAGCTGACCAGGCTGCTACAAGTAGGCTGCACAAAGGTGGCTGTGCTGATATGACGGTCATCATCATCACCATCATCATCACAGCTCTTTTCTTTCAGGAAGGCCAACAAGCTGAGAACCCAGAGTCTAGGGCATGGCTACTGTTCAGAATGCAGCGTCGTTGGCGAAAGGGCCCCTAAATGCATACCAGAGCAGCTCCATGCCGAACTCATCCGCAAAGCTGCAGCAGTTGTGGTATAGTATGTCCTCGGTGTCACACGGACGGGGTGGATCCCAGCGTCGGCGGGATTGGATGCAGAAGCTGTGTACGATGCATGGTTGTCAGCAGAGGATTGTGGCAATGTGGGCTCGAACTGAGAAAAGATTCCAAGCCAGGCGTCATAGTCGCCGGCATGCCATCGATGTCGCATCTCCTGGCCAAAGCTAAGACCACCCACAAGCTCTCCGTCGTTCCGCGTTCAGGTCTTCCAACGTGCCTTCAAAAACGAATCGGCTCCCAATTATCGCAACAACAATGGCTCTACTTCAGCGCGGGGAAGTTTCCGAAAAACGCACAATGATACAGGGACCGTGACGGACGTTACTTGAAACCTTTTTCCTGAACCCATGTCAAACCGTATGGTAAACCTTATGACAATCCTTGTACTGCTCCTGTACGGGGACTACGACAAATGACCCCCACGAACCCCTTGTGGAACCCCTGTAGACCCCGTTGTAGAACCCTAGCCCTTTCACAGAGACAAGAAAAAGTGGGTCTTTTCCGGCCCACCTCCACAAGTTGCTCCACCTGTGCCTGCAGTTTTCCGGTGCAGGACAAAAGGGATGAAGGGTGTCGGGTTCTGCGTTAAAGGTACACGGGATTAAGGGGACGGGTGCAGTATTCAGACGTTCAGACGGTTGTACGCTCGGTCTAGACAACCTCGGAATCGCTCCCAAAAACTGCTGCCTCTGTCTTCAACGTCGCACCAAGCCCAACGCTGTTGCGATAGACGTGCACCTAGATAGAGACAGGGCAAGAAGCTCCGGGATCTGTTCTGAAAGGCACTGCTTTGGATCCTCTAGAGCTAGCCCCTGATGTACTAGCCTAAATAGTAGAATCCTCATTATAATGGCCCCAAAATAATGTACCCCCAAGTTTCGGAAACTCCCATAAGGGCTCTATTATAACGACAAAGAACACTGGAAGCCAGGTCCGGTTCATCCCAAGTCTCCACATGAAGTTCATGATATAAGGGCCTATATAGATACCTATACTGTTTGGGGTTCCTTAATATACTGGTATAATGGGCCCAACCCTGTTCGAATTATTAAGGCCCCTATATTAATCACCTAACGTCACCTTCCAAGGCCCAGCTCCAAAGAAACGAATCCTCATAGGTCTTCCACAACCTGACGAGAGCCCAGAACCCTTAAACCCCTGAAACCTTATAATAGAGCCCTTAATAAGACCCTCATGGACACCCATATAATACACTTACATCATTCCTCATGGGGCCCTGGAATCCCCCGAAAATTGCCCGAACAAGCCGTAGGAATACTAGTCATAGACAAAAGCCACAGTTCGATAAGAACCACAAAAACTTGACTGTCATAGCAATAGACAGAATTATATCAGATGATACTAACTGTTCTTGGTGTTCTTACTGCTTGACTACAGCAGCAATAAGATTACAACAACAAGAGTTTTTAACGTTGGTACTCACAGTAAGAGGAATCATCAATCTCCTCAATTATGCAGACAGTCGGGATCATAATCATGAACACAACCGCTTTGTTAATGACCATAAAAATATGACCATAATAATAAAGGTAATAACCACGATAATCAGTGGACCCTAAGCCATCAAACCTTCAAAACCACCCGATCGAACGCTCTGAGACAGAGCACGTCGTGCTTCCGCGGTTCGCTCCTCGAGATGCCCTCGTCGCTGCCGTAGGACCACTCTCGGCCTCAAAGGGGTTTATTGGTCTTAGGGCCTTACAGGGCCTGAGGGTCTTAGGACGTTACAGTCTTTGGGTTTAGGGTTTAAGTTGAAGAAGGGGTTCCTTTGAGGCTTAGAAATGGCCTCATAAAGGCTTAAGCAAACTTTAGAATGGGGCTTTACAGGGCACGTTCGCTTTAGTCTTTAGTGCCGATGTGAGTGATGGTGCCACTAATCGCATCAGCACTGGCTACCGTTACTACGAGTCTACTCCTGAACATGGAGTCCGTACATCCAAAGACCAAAGCAGGACCAATCGTTGCTTAGATAAAGACATTCTTCCTCATGGATGCTGAAGCTCAATGATAGCTTCTGTCCCACACTCCTGAACCCTGAACCCGAGAGACCCTCCTGGGGAACAGGCCAAACACTTCCACCGCCGCGTGGAAGGCGCCTCCCACGTGGAGAACGTTGGCTCCAACCTGTGTTGTGGAATATGTATCTTGTTCGAAACAGTTAGCATCATACCATGCCACGACACGGGTCAGCACCACAAGCACGGCACGACAACATCACCATCACCAGCAGCAATGCCGTCGTCAGCGGCATCGCCACCGCCTCATCATCGTCATCATCGCCGAAGCATGGTTTCAAAAGTGACCCTCACATGCAAAAGTCTGTTGCGGTTGCTATTGCTACTACTCCTTCTCCAGGAGGCTTTTTCGGATTCCGTAAGGTTTGAGGGCATAGTGTTTGAGGTGCAGGGTGTATGGTCTGACCATAATAATTAAAAGAGGGCTTTTTGGGTGGTGGTGGTGGTGGTGGTGGTGGTGGTGGTGGTGGTGGTGGTGGTGGTGGTGGTGGTGGTGGTGGTGGTGGTGGTGGTGGTGGTGGTGGTGGTGGTGGTGGTGGGTGGTGGTGGTGGTGGTGGTGGTGGTGGTGGTGGTGGTGGTGGTGGTGGTGGTGGTGGTGGTGGTGGTGGTGGTGGTGGTGGTGGTGGTGGTGTATTCTAGTTTGAACATAAAAGAGAATTCTAAGCAATAATATGTGTAACTACTTAGGCGCCTATGTTACGGCCTTGGGATGCTTTGGGCTTAAGGCTCCGGGTTTGCGGGTCTAGGTTGGGGTTGAAGCTTCTGGTCAAAAACAGGCGCCCAATTCGTGGGAGAGGGTTCTTTCAAAGGCTACTATGAGGTTCGGTAAGGGCTGAGTGTAGTTGCGTAAAAAGTAGAAAAAAGGGCTTGGGAGTATAGGATGCCATTCTTGTTTAGGGGCTGTACAAGGATGTTAGTGCAAATATTTAGACCCTGATTGCCGGATTCAGAAGCAGATCTGAAGGCATTGGTGCTTCAACCTGTTTCAACAGTCCAGTACAAGAAGTCATCCCTACTTCGTGTCCGACGTCACTCAACATGGTACGCGCTTCCTTCCGTACAGCATTGAAACAAATGCTACATTACAGGTTCAGGGCACATTCCCCTTCTTAAGGTGTGCTGGATAAGAGACAATCATGGCAATCCTCTGCCCCTCGTTTCATCTCGGAACTTCAGGGCCCCTTAAACCATCATAAACTAACATGTTCCATGATCACTTGGAGTTCGTTTTTAATATGCAAGATGACTGCCGTCCTCAGAACACGAAACGAAAAGGATTCACAAAACTGGCTTTAGCTCCACATGCCACTGGGTCAACAACAGATTGTTTACCAACGAAGTGGAACTCCTGAACGCACACCTAGAAACGGTAACAGCACCACGACAATAAACAAATACGAGAATAACAATAATAGCAGTAACAACAACAATAACAACAGCAACCACGATAATCGAAACAATAGCTGAACGAGCTGAGGATGACACGTCGTTGGCGGTGAGCCAGTCTTGATTCAGGTCGTAGATGTTGATCCAAACCTCAGGGTCTTCGGCGTTTTTGGTTTAGGGTCTGAGGCTCAAGAGGGTCTTAGGGTTTCAGGTTTGTGGTTCCAAGTTGAAGATAGGTGGGCCGTTTACAACTGAAGGCCGGACCTACTGTTGATGATGTAAAACCTGCTTTACCTTAAACACCCTAAACGATGCGAATTATGGTATATTCCTTATGATGGGTCATGCAGGATTTGTATCATCAACCGTGGAAGCTCATCCATGAAAGCCAGAAACGCTGCAAACTCCCAGCTGTGACAGCCACTGCAAGCGACACATTCCGCAAAGCTGCTTCCTAAGCTCGGTTTAGGGCTCAGACTCAGACTGTTCCGGTGTATTCAAAGCTTTCAGGCTTAAGGCTGTTAAAGTTCTCATGTTTAGGCTTGTCTTTTTGGGATTTAGGGTTCAGGGTTTTGTGCCTAAGACTCGAGCAACAGCAACCCTCAAGGCGACCTCACCCCCTCCCGAAATCACTCAAACGTCTCAGGCTGGGCAAGCTGCCGTCGCCGAATCCATCTCGTCCTCAGCTGGGAATTTCCGAATTTAGGGGACCCCAATATAGTACCCTAAATAATCTAAAAAGTAGGATGACCTCAAAATAAGGTACCCCAATTTTTTGGGAAACTCCCAAAAAGGCGTGGAAGCAGGGTGATAGGTACATAATGGAGTAGTAAGAGCGCACAAACTGCGAACCTTCTGCTTGACTTCATAGCCTCAAAACTAACTTCATGGCTCTGCTACGACCCTCGCCAAAAACAAGCGAGAATATCCTAATCACCGCCAGGTGGCGAAGAGGACTTCGTGGTTGTCAGTGGCCTGACTTACATGGGGAATGTAGGGTATGTTGAAACGAATCAGTCTCTCCCGTGAACGTATTCTTGTTCGGAACTTCGGTTTCAGCTGCTGTGGGAAGGTGCTGCAATTCTTCCTGCCCAGAGGATTGTGGACAAGTGTTTTGCAGGAAGGCTTGGTCGCTGAGGGCTTTGAGCTTGTGGTCTGCTCTTCGCCGGATGCTTGAGCATCACACACTCGATGTTACTGCACAATTTCGAAAGCGATGTGCAGACTCACATAGCACAAACTAAAGCCTTGATTCCACTGGTCAAACAGCCGACGATTGAAGGCAGAAAAACCCGTCGCAACAATTCCAGAACGATGCACAACGATTATCAAGGTGTGCTTCAAGGCAGGAGTCCGAAACGAGGCACTACACCTACGATCCCCGAATTCAATTCCAACCAATCTAGCCCTAGGCCCTAGACCGACCCTGAACTTCCCTCGCGGTCAACACCCCAAACCAGGGCACGACGCGTCGGCTAGGACTAGGAAGTCCCCACACAACATTCCGAATGTGCACTCTTCAACTACTGTATCATCAGGACCAATATCACCCTCTTTTGATACCATAGTACAGCTATGAGTGTGCAACATTTCAACGTTTACATCTTTTCTGGCGGGCTGTGATAGCCCGACTTTCCAGATTCCCGGTGCTCACAGAAAGCAACCCCACGGCTCGAAGTCGCCTTCCCTCGACCCTGACCTTTTGCCCTGAACCCTCCAATATGCAGCCTACAACCGTGAGCCGTACAGTCCAGACTACCAGAGCCCGGCAGACCCCATCACGTCGACCCCTCTGCACCCATCCTCGCAGAGGCACTCGTTGGCGTTCCTGGGCTCGAAAGCAGCTGGAACAGCGAGGAGCAAAGCGACAGCTTGAGAGAGGTAGCGTGCCTAGACATGTATGTATGCACCTATGCATGCATGCACGTATGCATGCAGATGTGTATGTATGCGTCTGCGGACGTATGCAGTGTATGTACGTAGTGGATGTATGTGTATATGTTTGGTTTGTTTGTATGTATGTATGTATGTGTGCGTGCATGTATGTACACACATACAGACGTACGCACCGACTGACTGACGGAAAGACAGGCACGCAGGTGCACACAAGGACCTACACACAGGGAAATACATGCAGGCTGAAAAAAGTCACACATGCACATCCATATGAACAAACATCTGTGTACATGTGCGTACATGCATAGACACATGCACACAAATATCTGATGACGACAGCCAGTCCACAGAGTCGTTCGTGCATAGATCCAATTCTCTAGAAAGGTTCTGCAGCTCCTGCAGTTGCGGGGCATCTACCGAGGTATACCTACGGGCCTTGCGAGAAGTTGGAGAATGTATACAGTAGACCCGGCTCTTTCACAGACATGCATGACATGCTGAAGTTATGCGACTATCGCAGAGTCTGTCTAGCGAGAGCGTCCATTCAGACAGGTTGTCGTGCTCTGGATAGCATCTGCAAGAGGCATGTGGCTATGCAGCTGCAGAAGTAGAGTTGCTTGGTGCAGCAAAGTTGCACTTCGAGCTATGCTCTACGCAGCATGAACCGCGAGACTCTGAGCTCTAAGCCGCAAACCCTGAACCCTGACCCAGAACTCAAAGAACGAAGAGATGACACGAAGGATGGGCCGGATAAGAAAAAGCCGTGGCCTGGAGCCCGGAGCTTGCATTGCTTTAGGGCTTTGGGTTTCGGAGTGCTCCAGGGCTCAGGCTCAGATCCACGGGCTGATTGGGAGCAGTTGGGGATCCGTGTCTGGGCTTCTTTTCGGGTCCACAGCCGAGGCTCACATTGCCCATGGCCAGTAAGGGGCCGGGAAAGTTTGCCGAAGAGCAGAGGGGCAAGTTTGAGTAGAGCCGTGAAACTGCGGATGCGGGAAGACTTGCCTCTACAAACATCTGCCCCTAAACACCGAAACCCTGAACTCTCAAATGGCCGAGAGCCGGGTTCTGCTCAAGCGGCGGTGAACCCCCCAACCCAGATGCAGGAAACCTCATTTTTCTCAAGCCGGGATCCGCTCCATAACGAGCAAGAATCGGACATCCGCTAGGCAGCACCACGTCTTCACGCAGAGGCCCATGTATCTCTGCGGTGTACGTATACACATGTGCTGAAATATAACATCTACATACATATATGCAACTCAGAGAGAGATATGCACTTGCATCTTTCCTCCGTCTGCGTAGGTATAGCCAATGATGTCCATACGGTGCGTGTGGGCATCTGCCTAATGGGCGGATGTAGCCGTAGCCGCTTCTGAAAGACTCGACTCTCTTGTCACCGAAGACCCAAGCCCTGAAGCCCCGAAAACATGGGCAGTGACCCTTACTAAGTTCAAAAATAGTCAAAGCAAACGCCAAGGCCAGGCGGGCCCTCGCCTTTCAGGGCCAAGCTGAGATCTCCATCCAGAGCGCCTCTTGACGGCAGCGAGTACTGCATCCAGGCGTTGAGGCTCTCCTCTACTGCGCTAGAACATGTCTCAAGCCTCGCGTCTGAACTCACGTTTCGAGGCCTAGAACCTTTCACCCCACATCCCAAAACAGCAGCAGCCATCGAGGAGGCGACAGATAGGCTGATGCACCGTCAGGAGCTTCGTGCCGTCGGGGAAGGTCGCTTCCACCTGCCGGATTCTTCTCTCCATAGGTATCAGTTCGGGCTGAATTACACTTCTCAGGCTTCTCAGTGATCGCCGCAGTACCAGTATTAGTGGGAAAGCCGTGCTCTTCCTCCAAACCGCGACTCGCCTTCTTTCTAAGGCTGGTTTGACCCCCTCCCACACGCTGCCCCTAAACAAAAAGCCGTATCTAAAGCACTCCTCTAAGAGCCCCAGCGAGGTTTATCAAAAGATTGTTAAGTCACAGCCACATGGCATTCTGTGCCCCACTATGAAGCGTGATGCAAACAACGGGCAGAACATGAAACCCAAAGGATGCCCCAGTACTTCGTCGTGGCCATGGCCATCAGCGCCGGCGTTCCGCCGTCGTCGCGATGGTAACACAGGCAAACGATGATCATCAAAACATGGTGTTTGTCATGATGACAATGATGGCGACGCAATTGTGGTGCTGATCATCCAGATGGCAACGGGGAGGATGAGAACGATGCCAGCGACGAGAGTGTGGTTGAGATGAGTGGGAAGAGGAGGATGGTGATGATGACGATGATGCTGATGTTGTTGCTGATGATGATGAAAATGCTGAGGACGATGATGATTGTAAAGGCGATACTGATGGTGAGGACGAAGCAGCAGACCGCGCCGAGAAGGATGCCGATTGTAGGAGAGCCGGGCCCAAGCTTCTGCGAGAGATTTCGTACTATGCAACGTGCTGACCGTGCTTCCGCCTGTTCTTAAGGCGATTTCTGCAATGTCAGCTGAAAAAACATGCCAAACATGATAAGCATCTTGAGAAAGGCTGTCGCAATGGCGCAACAACGCCACTAAGAGTCTTGAAACTAACATGATGACGTCTTCTGGATCAAGTTCCGGTTGCTATGATTCTCCCATGACCAAGACCAAGGGTTTTGAGATTTAGTACACGACCTCGGTGCCCCGCTGCCCAGTCCTTACCCAACTACCCGAGACGAGCTAAAGTGCAGAACCCAAGCAGCAATAAACCCCGGCTGCAAACTCCTGAAGGCGCTCGATATCCTAAACCCCCTGAAACCTTCAAATCAAAAACCCATACCTCTGTCAG